GAGTTAGGAGCTTAGGATGCTTGGCTGCTAGTCTCTGCTCTACTTCAACTACATGTACACGATGATTGTATTACTTCAACTACATGTACACGATGATTGTATTGTTGGCAGGAGTGCATAGCCAAACTTGTGCAAATCCCACCCTGAGCTGCGCTGAGCTCGTTTTATTGTGTCCTCTTTTGGCAGGGACATGATCAAGTGTGCATGCCTTTCCGTGCTTGTCATGTAGATACGGTGTTAGTTCATCAGGTACAGGCTGTATGGATCCACTGCCCAATGTTCTGCTTCAACTACGGTGGTTGCAATCAGTACACATTATTTGCACTGTTGATCTCTGGCTATGCATTAAGGCATGCATCAGTGAGCCAAATAGGGCGTGAATTACTGATGTCATGAAACAAATTACCACCATGGGCAGAAAGATTGTTGCGTTGCACACTCTTGGTTTTGTAGTCTTGATGTTAGTTCTGAGCGTATGTGTGTGTCTGCGTGTGCACGTGTGTGTGTATCTGTGTGTGCGTGCATGCGTGCTTGCTTGCGTGTGCGCGTATTGGTGCAGAATGTCAGCCTGGCGTACCGTGTGATGGGCAACTCGACTGCGACCTTCTCGCTGCCGCTGGTCTTCAATCTCATGTCGTCGGTGGCCCTGCAGATGCTGGATAACACTGCCAGCGGTATCACCACCACTGTCAAGCCACTGCCGGATAGGACACCAGAGCTGGAGCTGAACCCCGGTCTCTACACGGCACTGTTCGTCATTGCACTGGGCCTGGCCAACATGGCCACTGCATTCATACAGATGACAGTGGAAGATAAGGAGGTAACCTCATGGTGTTATCTGCATGACTGTGCTTAGTTACTTCAAGTAGTCTTACCGGGTATGTAGAATGGTTTCGCACTTGTATTATACATGGATGTGGCTAGTGGGGCTGTCAGCACTTGTGCTAGTAGTTGTGTGATTAATCCCCTCACCTCCACCGTTAGGCACTGCATCTGCCACTGGATTACTTCCGGTGTTAGTGGCCGTCGCGGGTTCCCTCGGAAACGGGGATGACGATTCTATGTTAACGTATGACTTTACTGCTGACTTGTTAGAGTTCTATAGTATAAGCCTGTGTCCTTTCTTGTGCTCCCCCCCCCCCCCTCCTCTCTCTCTCTCTCTCTCTCTCTCTCTCTCTATCTATCTACGTCTCCATTGGACTGCTTTGTGCAGATTCGCGCCAGGCACCAGCTGCTCGTGTCTGGTGTGACCAAGAAGATCTACTGGCTCAACTTGTTCACGTTCAACTTTGCAACGTACATGGTCCTCTTCGTCCTGGTGTTGATTGTGGTGGCAGCGGTGCAGGTGGACTCACTGACAACCGGCGGTGCCATGTTCGCCATGATCCTATCCTTCATCCTCTACGCCATGTCGATGATTCTCTTCTCCTTCCTCGTCAGCTTTGCCTTCTCCAAACGATCCACTGTTGAGAGTAGCATGTCGACCGTTTTGATATTTGTAAGTGGACTTTTTCTCCTAGAGAACTGGTGGAATCCTGATCATTTGAACCCCAAGTAGCCAGGGAAAACGTCTAATTATCCTATTGTGTGCCCACAACGCAATATGCGTACCGTAATGTCGCATATTAAAGCCGGGCGTATTCCTGTGGAAGCCGATGTCAGCGCTAGGCTTCTACTCACATCAGGCTTCTATTCAAACCAGGTATTTCTATGTATGTCAACACTAAAACCAGGCTTGTGTGCAGACAGTGTATTTGAAAAGCAGGCGTGCTCGCACTGTCACCATGGTCACCCAGAGTTACGATATGCACCTATACTTTGTGCACCCTGAACTGTCCACTGCAGTGTACAATGAACTTCAAATTACACTTTGCTAGCTTCGAATTATCAGCAGGAATGCCTCACGTTTTCTGTGCATGAACACGTGTGTGGTGTGTGTGTGTGTTGGGGGGGGGGGGGTATTTGTGTGTGTGTGTGTGTGTGCGTGTGTATGTGTGTGTGTGTATGCGTGTGTGTGTGTGTGTGTGTGTGTGTGTATGTGTATGTGTGTGCATGTGCGTGCGTTACAGCACACTGTGTCTGATTGTAACCTTGCCTTGCTCAACGGTAACGTTACTCTTGGATTCTGGTTGAGGTCGTGGTGTTGATCGCTCTGTGTGCTTTCTGATGTGTGTGTCTGCGGGCATGTGTTTGCTCGTGTGTGTGTGTGTGTGGTGTGTGTGTGTGCGTGCGTGTGTGCGTGTGTGTGTGTGTGCTCTCGTGCACGTACGTCCCCCGGGTGACAGATGGTGATGATTCCCTTCTTCACCGTGTCCATCATTGACCAGCTGAGCTACACGACGACAGCACGCGCGCTGCACTACGGTCTGTGTGCCATTGATGCGCCGTACTGCTTCAGTGGTATGCTGTACTACATCGATCGGGTACGCTGCAAGTCTAGTCACATACAATCATGTAGTCTCATGTAACGGCTTTACACACTTGCTTCTCATGGTACGGATACCAGCAGCACTGCATACTCTAACTGAGTGCCGCTCAACGAAGGTGTCTCAAACATAGCCCTTGGTTTGTACATGGCTGAAGTACGCTTGCTTTTTTCATTCTATCTGCCTTATAATGGGTTGGCTTGTGCAGGGATCTTGGGAAAACTTTGTCTTATAGTGAGGCAACATCATTCCTGAGGCGGATACAGTATGTAAGATGTAAAACAGCAGGAAAATGTGCACGTCCTGATAGTAGAATGCTAGAGTTTGTTTAGAACGAAATACAATCTACTGTGATGAGCTTTACCGTGTTTCAAGTTCAGCTACTAGTAGTAGTAAGGTGAAGTAGTTTGCAATGCTTGTACTCTCCTGTTCCCCTTTCTAGGTGTACAGAATCCATTCGTTGGGAATCGGTGGACTTTCTGTCTCCTCGTATTTCGACTTTGAAGCCAACATCTCTGGTTCCTTGCTCTTGGTAAGCCCATGCTAGTGCTTCCTGCAAGTAGTCGGCTGTGTGAGTGAGCTGTGCGAGTGGGCTGTGCGAGTGGGCTGTGCGAGTGGGCTGTGCGAGTGAGCTGTGCGAGGGAGCTGTGCGAGGGAGCTGTGCGAGGGAGCTGTGCGAGGGAGCTGTGCGAGGGAGCTGTGCGAGTGAGCTGTGCGAGTGAGCTGAGTGATTGTCGCTTGGAGGTACATGTACATTATACTGAAATAAGATTGTATGTGTATAATGTATGTGTATAATGTATGTGTGTGTTGTTGTCATTTTGTCATAAACCCATTGCGTTCTTCTGTGTGCTGCTGCTGTACAGGTCTTTGGCCAGTGTCTTGTGTTTCTCTTCTTCATTTACTACATTGAGACTGGTGATCGACGAAGAGCCAAGTACGTACTGACACTGTGACTGTGTTACAGTGTATTGCTGTGTACTACACTTTAATACCATTCCATATGTCTCATTGCTGCCTTGCTGCTTTGTGCCATCAAATGGTGTGTGTGTTTTTTGTTTAAAAAAAACAAAAAACAAAAAGAGTGTACACTGTATTACAGTGCCATAAGCAACATACTCTTAGGGGTCACACCCGGGATGCGTCACCGGTGATCATCTCGCGGCCATCTTGGATTTCGGAGCGTGCTCACCTCGTGGGTTATCCTCGCGTGCCAAGCCGCCAAGGAGGCGCGGGCCTCGCTTTTTTCAAATCGTGGATCGATCTGACTCCTGCGATCGAGCTCCCGCAAGGCAAAATCTCCTCCAACTACTTCCAAGTCAAACAACATCAGACATACAAGTACATCGTAACACGGTGTCTTTCTCTTTCGACTCGACAGTCGGCTGCTTCTTGTATTCGATTCTCTCCTGGAAGGAGCTGATAGGTCTTGTCTCGACCTCCTTTTTCCAACTTTCTGTCTGGTGTCTGTCTACAGGAAGTCGGCCTGGAGCAGCAACGCCGAGACATTTTGTCTCCCCTTTTTGTCTTTAGTAGCCTAGATGTCTCCTGGAGGTGGAGAGCCAGCACGACGACGACGATGTCGGGTTCAGCTGACCCGTTTTCCCGCCTCGATTGCAGCTGAATCAACTCTTTCTTCCTTCTTTCTTCCGATAGCCTTCATCTTCTTGTTGGTGTTAGTGAATGCGGAACTCTTTTCGGAGCTATTTTTACGAGTTGCACTATGCCTGCGAACAGGAAAAAGGACAGGTCGGGAGTGAACTACCCGAAACGCCGCAAGAGGAAGCATTCTGGCCAATACAGTAGTACGAAAAAGCGTCGTGCAGCCAGTCCCGAGAGAAACGAACACGTACTTATAGATAGCCAGGTGTACGTACAGGATGATGAACCAGCAACCAAAGAGACATCTCAGGTAATTTTTTCTTCTTCAAATAATTAGTTATTCACCTGCATACAAGCTGGCATACATCATCTACGTCATGGGAATAGATCCCTTGCTTGTACTTCCCTTCAACAGCAATGTAATACTCAATGACACATTATGTATGCATTCACAAGCACACGTGCATGCACACACAATGTGTGTGCATGTCATAATACTGCTGTGGAACTTTGGTAATCAGTACTAATCACACAGATATCGTACCGTGTCAAGCATACGTAATTTTTTGGACTGCACACAATTCAGTCGTGTTGGATGAATACAATACCGGTGATAGTAGACGAGTGTATTCTAATTATGATATGTGCATGTTGTACGAAATATGAAGCACAAGAGGAGAAGAAATATGAAAGTCTTCTAATTATAACAATTTGAAGAGTTATGTTCTGTTGTATAAACAAAATTATTTGCACGATGTTGTTTTGTGCTAGGTTGTGTCTGAAGACCAAACTGAGCATGCGGATGAAGAGGAGATACAAGTGGTGCCACCAGTGCCAAGTCCTGTCAAGACAGTTGGCGAATCGACGCAGAATGTGCCTACAGACGATCCATCATGCGCAGCCCGGATAACGACTTGCAGTGATGAGAAGAATGAGTCATTGGAGAAACGACTGGCTGCACTGGAGAAGAAATGTGAGATGCACGAGCTCCGAATTCAGCAGCAGCAACTGGAAATCCGGGGTCTGCGAATTTCGCAAGTAAAACAGAAGAGTAAAAGACAGCAAACACCAACGTCAACAGGGGAGCCATGCATAATTTCTGCCAAGACACAAGGCAGTAACGCCCATTGCCCGCGTTTCATGGCACAGATGCGGTTTCTCAAGATTGCATGCATATTGTCAAACCAGAAGGCAGCATTGGCAATACATCTAAGCCACCATGTACTAACTGGCCAAGCTCCCTGTAGCCATCTCGGCACAACATGTTCCCCATCGTCACTGGCCAAATGGAACTTGCTTCTAGGAGAGGTTGACAAGGCTATCCTCCGCGACACCCTCTCCTCAACGCCATACGACATAGCTGTGTTCGCCGATGACTCGAACAAAAAAGGAGAAGACAGGCACATGGTGGGGGTACACACCTGGTCAGCAAAACGAAATTGCCCCGCAGGCTATCTATTAGCGGACACACTCGTTGCAAGTGGACGAGGAGCAGACCAGGCAAAGGCAGACCATCACATCCTGAAGAATGTTTATGGAATCAGAACAGTGTGTGGAGTGGTGGGAGACAATGCATCTACCCAGTCCGGAGACAAGAAGGGGCATGCCGTCGCACTGGGTGGCCTATTCAAGAATAAAACCCATTTCATAGGCTGCTACCCGCACGTGTTGAACATTGCGTTGAAAACGGCAATGGTCGACGGATTCGGCCATCGAGGACCAATGGCAAGTTTCAACATGTGCCAAATGCAGTACAAAATCGCGTATCTGCATCACCAGAAGCCTACGTACTACAAATCGTTATACGTTTCACTCAAGATCCTCGCAAAGCCACCTCCCTTGCCCCAAGAGTTCATCGACACCCGCTGGTCATATATACATGAAAATTTGAAATGGTTTCAAAAGTACGGCACGGCATGCATCCAGCTGGGAAAATGTATGCTCGAGTATCTTCCCAAGAAGGAAACGCACTACGTCATTTGGGAAGAAGTGGTGAGAATGTCAGCCAATCCCATCATCGCTACAGAACGTGTTACATTACTGGAGATACTGGACAGGCTGATTATGCCATCTCTTCGGGCCAGCCAGCTCCCCGACACAGAACTCGGCTTTTCAAGCGGCTACTTAGCGCGGAAATGGCCAGTTCAGGTATTACGGGACATACAGTTAGCTATCCTAATGGATGTAGAGCCAGATTTCGCAATGCCACTGACAGCTCGTGCTATGAGCTCTAATCTAACAGCAGAAAGAGCAGAGCACTACCAGAACAATGTCGTCAAGCCACTTACCAGTGCCATTGTAACTGTCTTGCAGAAGCATGGCGTGCGTTGGTTCAAGTTTCCGTTGGCATTCGGCATGGGGGCGGACTCCAAGTGCCGTCATCATTTCTGGCGAGCGTATGGACGCGTGACAGGCTCCAGCGCAGCATTCCCCTGTCCGGCGGAGTTTCCCTCAATCCTGGCGTCCCCGTTGAAGGAGCAGCTCTGGGCCGAGCTGATCAGTGCAGCCACCACCATCAAGTGTCCGTTCACACTTGCCAAAATATGTTACCAGAACGGGTTGCTTCAGCGCCAACAACATCTCTTGCTGCATCCGAGCACGCACTGGTTTCATGAGCTGGAAATCTTGGCAATCGTGGCTGCAGATAGACCGGGCCTCCAGCAATGGGCAGAAAGGTGGCCAATACCAGATGAAATGCTGGCAGAGGTTGAGCTGATAGCGCAACGCACTAGCCCCTCAGTGCCCAACGAGAACAAGGAGCCACATGCGTGGAAGTGGTTCGCGACACATGTGTTTGCTCTACCAGTGAACAACGTGATGGCAGAGCGGCAGTTCAACCTGGCAGGAATCCACCTCACGAACTCTGATTCCGAGATGACGAAACAGGCAACACACCTGTTCGTGGAAAACGTCATCCACGGCAATGACGCCACAGCCGGTTCATCAGGCAAAAGGACAAGGATGACAGGTAAGAAAATGATCCAACAGCACACGTATCTTGCACGGTAGAGACGCGCTTATCACCATTACAAACGTGAAGTATTCGACCTGGCAGCGATTTGGTCATATGCATACGGATGTCGAAGATTGTTTACAATGATTCAATCCTGAGACAAGTTGTATACTACGCAGCACACTCTGTTCACCAACATGCGTACGTACATAGAAGCCAGCAATGGTGCCCAGCCTGGCCCAGGGTGACTTGAACAGACTGCTTACAATAGCTATCCTCACACGCGTGTGATTTTCTGCTGGTCATTCTCTTTGTGTTTACTGGTAGGTGCTACAACACAACAGCTGGCCACAGCAATGCAGGATTACGCGTCCACCATTACTCCAGAGCGGCTGAAGAAAGCCAAGAAGCAGCTGAAACTACTGAGGCAGGGCACATCTCAGGCCAGGTCGTTGACTGCCTCAGAGACGTACCAGGACGTGCTGAAGCGCCACCGCGCGAGAGCTGATCATGACAAAACTCTTGCTCGGCTGGAAAGGGAGGGTAGGAGCCACGGTGTGCAGCACAATCCAGGCACCCGTGCATCCACCCAAGACAGGGCCAACACAAGGTCGTTCAGTCCAGTACGTGAGGCAGGTGCAGTCGAGCCAGGTACATCGGGGTGAGAACGTCCATGGCTACGAAAAAGTCCAGTGCAGCCATTCCTTCATCGATTTGGACAAACTATGGCTTATTTTTTTTATTGTGGACTTGTCTTCCTTTCTATCGAGACGATTCATAGATTTCTATTTTTCTTCTCCCCCAAAATTCTCTTCGAAGCGAAGAGAAATCTTGAGAAACTACTCCGAAATCGTATCTTGCTCCGTGATTTGGGTATTGTTGGCCTTTCTCAAAACTTCTTTCGATAGAAGTCTGCGGAATAGGGGTAGGATCCAGCATGTCAAATTTCAGGCTGATCAGAAAAACAGTCGCTGCCCTGGAATCAAATACACATTACAGTCGTTTTTTCAAAAATTTAAAAATTCACGTACCGTGATTGGTCCGTACGGTGGGGTTTTCACGTGTTTGGCACGTGCGAAATTCAAAATGGCCGCGAGATGGTTGTACAGAAGTGTGACCCCTAACTCTACCCGCGATCATGGGGATATCACTTATTAGCAGATGCGGCGCACTGTGTGGACGGCTGCGCGTTCCGTAATGCCATGTGCAAACGCAGTACTGGCAATCTCATAAGCCAAAAATTCAGACCCTTCTTTCATTCAGCAATCCGTAACGTAAGCATGTAGGTAGAACAACGTGCACATAGCAGTGCCGTTAGCTGTATAGCTATAACCTCTGTTAGCTGTATGTTAGCTGGGACCTGGCAGGGTATGGGTTGTGTGTCCCTTGGCGGTGCGTTGATTAGTGATGATCCCGAAGCTTCTTCTGTAGTAGGTGGTGTTAGAAATGGAGTTGGAGTGTAAGTTTATGACTTTTTATTTTGGTGTTGCTCTCTCTCTCTCTCTCTCTCTCTCTCTCTCTCTCTCTCTCTCTCTCTTTCTCTCAGGAAAGTGTTGGTTGGTCGTCATGACGAGATTGAAAAGCTGGATAGTGATGTACGCGATGAGATCACCCGAGCACTGGAGTACGATCCTGACCCGAATAGTGAGTTCTCTTTCATGCGCTTACAGGCTCTTACTGTTTAACTCTTGTGCATCGGTCAGGGAGCTGCTGCGGCTGCGGCGGCGGTCCTTTACCTGACGATGTCCTTTCTGCTGCATTAAATTCACGCCTCCACACAGTACCATTAGCATTTTCCTGTTGGTATCTGCACTGACTCTATCACCTTGCTGGCCGTGAGCAGCACTGATTCTGTCACCCTGCTGGCTGTTAAGTTAGCAGCACTACTTTCACACTGTATCATGCTGTCATCTCTAACCATCCTTTGCCAGTGGGTTCCAGCCTGTACATCTGCGCTATGCTTTTCACATGTTGATTACACCTACACCTCACCTGTATATAGACCACTGCTTCTGTTTCTGCCACTGCTGCTGCTGCTACTCATGAACAGTTGGAGTTGGTGGGTCACGTTAGTTCATCTGCTTACAGTTCTGTCTCTGGCCGGCAGGACTTATGGAGCCTTCTTGCGTGGAAAACCGTAGTAACAATGTCTCTCAATTACTCTTGCTAACTTACATGTATGTGTGTTAATGTCTGTGCCTCTGTGTGTGCGTATGTGTGTGTGTGTGTGTGTCTGTGTGTGTCTGTGTGTCCGTGTGGGTGGGTGTGCCTGTGTTTCTGCGTGTGTTCCTGTGTGTGTGTGTGTGTGCCTTTGTACCTGTGTGTGTGTGTGTGTGTGTGTGTGTGTGTGTGTGCCTGTGGTGTGTGTGTGTGTTTGTGATGTCTGCTGTGTTGTTTCTTCTTTTTCCCTGCACAGACGACGAAGACTGTCTAGTTCTGAGGAACCTGCGCAAGGAGTTTGCCACGTCGTCCAACATGTGCGTTCCGCAGGCGCGCCGCAAGCCGCCCAAGGTGGCTGTCAATGGCCTGTGTCTGGGCGTGCGCCAGGGAGAAGTGCTGGGTTTCTTGGGCCCGAACGGTGCTGGCAAGACTACCACCATGAATATGGTGACCGGCGACGCTATTCCTGATGGCGGAGAGGTAAGTACGAATGACATCTTGCATCTTATTGATTCATGACCAATGAATACTGCAACCCAGAATGATGCGTGATAACCAAGCCAACCAAATTGTTGAGCGCTCGCAGACATTCACGTGGCTAGTCATGCATACTTGTTCTTCATCTGTGTTGTCCAGTCCTAAATGGGACTGCTTTCCCAGGGTTGAGACACTGCACCACACAGTGTGAGACATGTTGCTGGCGTACTTCTTCTTTGGTACGACATGCGGAGGCATGCGATGGGGCTAGGGATCGTAGAATTGAGGCACTGCCTATCCGTGTGTTTGATGTGCGTGAACTCGGAGCTTTTTACTTGTTTGTGTATGGTACGTACATGCACGAGTACCTCCTGTGCTCTTTTGATGTGGATACCCGTGTAGAGGGGTGGCCAGGTTCGTGAATCTAGTACTGCTTTCTATATAGTTATGGGTGACAATTGGCGGCTAAGAGCCAGAAAGAGGTGGGAAATTGCCCATAAAAAGATGTGATGTGTACAAGATGTAGTGCATTGATGACCTTTGTCATCCTGTGCATGACCTGTATGTGTATGTGCGTATGTGTGTGTGTGTGTGTGTGTGTGTGTGTGTGCGTGCGTGTGTGTGTGTGTGTGTGTGTGTGTGTGTGCATGTGTGTGTGTGTGTGTGTGCATGTGTGTGTGTATGTGCGTGTGCATGTGGGACACTTGGTATGGGCACAGGTGTACCTGGAAGGTCATCCACTGGTTGGTAGCGCTGGCCGTCAGCAAGCTCTGGGATACTGCCCGCAGGCCGACGCTGTGTGGAAGGACCTGTCGCTGGAGGAGCACATGCGAGTGTTTGCGCTGCTCAAGGGGGTTTCCCCGGACTCGGTGGACTTGCTCGTCAACCAGTAAGTCACCATGTGGTGATGTGGTGATGTGTGATGTGTTAATTTGATCTGATTTAACATCATCAGAAGTCTAGAGTGTCGGGGTGTTGTATCGAGGGGCAGCCTTGCTCTGCTCTATTATAATGCAGTGTGCACTGGCAGTTTGTAAGAATACTACGTCGTGGTGTTCCGGTGCAGCGCCGTTGTTAGTAACTTAGTATGACCCCTGACAGTGCTGCTGGTGGGATGCTCATGCTGATGATGTCGCGGTGTGTCAAGGAAAACGAATTACTGGCCTGTGCTGTGTTTAGTTGTGAAGAGTGGATGAAGCTTTGTGTAATTCGACAAGAATCACTGATGCACATGCTGTAGTTTGGCCGCTCGTCTCGTTGGCTCTGTAGCAGACATATGGACATTATGGTGGCCCTCGTTCAGCTCTGGCTGCATGCAATATTTATGAAACTTTGTTCATGTGTCCAGCGTTTGCATGCTTGTCCGGTAGTTTGAAGCACATGAGGAATATTACATGATGCAATCCAGCATGCATATGCGTTGTCTAAGTACATGATTGTATTACATAATTTATATGAGCAATCCAGCACGCATATGACTCGAGTGAATAATCAAGTGAGGAGCATGCATGTGTGAACAATGTTGAGCCAGCAGGGTCTTCATGAGGCGAACTGTTCAGTTTCCAAACGACTTGAAATCTGGGACAGAGACATGGTAGAGTGCTTGTTGTTCTAGTTGATGTCGTATTAATGGTGTTGTTTGATTCTGTAGTGGTACGGTTATTATGCTACACACTTTTCTTGTCTGTTGTTTGATTGCTGTGCTCAACCCCTTAGGTTTATTGACACTATGGATATCCGTGACCATGCCAAGAAGCGCAGCAAAGATCTGTCTGGCGGTACAAAGAGAAAGGTGCGTTGCTTTCTGTAGAATTCAGCCGAGTGTCGGTTTTCCGAGTGCATTGAAACCAGCCTCTGCTTAGATATTGAATGACTCCTAGTTATTGGGCTCAATTGTTCCATGGTCTTTTTGCATTGCATAATATGCATTTGCAAGGTTTTTTTGACATTGCATCGCCGACATTTTGATTGCCGTGAAACCCTGATCAGTATGTTGATGCATGGAGTCTGCACTGTACTCCTACATGTATCGCATTTCCAGCAGTACATACAAACATACATACATACATACATACATACATACATACATACATACATACATACATACACGTGCGTGAAACTTACTTGGAAGAAATAAGAATGGGGAGACCAACCGGTAGTGAGGCGTATTGAGCGGACATAGTACAATTCCCCGCACGACCAGTGTTGCGGTTGGTCGGCATGTTGGAAAGAGTGAAATTCGGATAGCCGACGCCCAGCTGTGTCCGCAATGCATGCTACAATTGTATCTAATACGCAGTGGTGGCTCTTTGTCATTCACCAGCCACCTTGGTGTACCCAATCCAGTGTCTAATAATGGAAAGTCGGTTATCTGATATTCTCACCTTTTCTCATCCGGTCTATGCATTTGTGTTCTTCTTATGTTGTAGTTGAGCTTTGCCATGAGCCTCCTGGGCAATACTCGTATTTGTTTGCTTGACGAGCCGTCCACTGGCCTAGATCCAAGTTCCAAGCGCTTCTTGTGGTGAGTCATCACTGCTGGGAATATTGTGCAAGCATATGCAGTGAAGCCCCCCCCCCTCCATGTGTGTGTGTTTTGGTGTCTGTCTGTCTGTCTGTCTGTCTGTTTCAGAAAATACTTGATTATCCTAACAGTAACGTACCTACCGTTATCTGTCTGCCTCTCTCTCTCTCTCTCTCTCTCTCTCTCTCTCTCTCTCTCTCTCTCTCTCTTTCTCTCTTTCTCTCTCTCTCTCTCTCTCTCTCTCTCTTTCTCTCTTTCTCTCTCTCTCTCTCTCTCTCTCTCTCTCTCTCTCTCTCTCTCTCTCTGCCTCTCTCTCTCTCTCTCTCTCTCTCTCTCTCTCTCTCTCTCTCTCTCTCTCTCTCTCTCTCTCTCTCTCTCTCTCCCTCCCTGGGCCGCATCACCTTATTTAAGCTTATGTTGTATAATTATGTATTTTCGTATGTCAGGAATGTCATCAGCAACAGCATCCATGGAAAGCGTGCCGCTGTGTTGACGACGCACTCAATGGATGAAGCTGACGCTCTGTGCAGCAGGGTGGGAATCATTGTCAATGGCCGCCTGCAGTAAGTAGCTTAGTTCAGCATTATGGAGAACTGGTAGATACTGGTGCTGCAGCAAGGACAAAAGTTAGCTAAGGGCTTTCCTTTATCGGTCTGCTTCTGAATATAGACGCTGCTGACCAATAGCACCCACCAATAGCACCCTATATCCTGCTAGCTGTCCATAGTGCTGTGGATGCGTGCAAACCGATAGTTGCAGCACCATCTGCCGCTCACTGTAGCTACGGTTAGCAACTGATTGTGTATATTCTCCTTACATGTTCACACCGACTACCCTCTATTCTGTTTGTCCATTTGCTGATGACGAACAAAGCAGGCAAAGAAAAACACACAAAAATGCAGCCCTGATCTCCGGTATGAATGTCATTGAGCGGCACTGTAATCTCAATGCTCTTGTACTGGTGTTGCTGCTGCTGCTGCTGGTGTTGCTGCTGGTGTTGCTGCTGCTGGTGTTGCTGCTGCTTCTGCTGCTGCTGCCGCTGCTGCTACTGCTGTTGCTGCTGCTGCTATTCTGCTGTTGTTGCTGCTGGTGTGCAGGTGTATTGGCTCGACGCAGCACTTGAAGACCAAATACGGTGGTCACTATCAGCTTGAGCTGAAACTGTCCACGGAGCAGGAAGGCAACCTGGAGGAGAGAATGGAAGCCGTGCGCCAGTACATCAAGGACCTGTTCTCCGGCATGGAAGTCATGGAGGAGTTCAACGAACGTGCCCTCTACAAGATCCCCCTCGATGAGCTTGGTCACCTGTCGGTCGCTTTCTCAGCTCTAGAAGAAGGTGCAGTACACATACATGTACAATGTACACTGACCTTTCCACTGCTCAACTTCTAGCGTGTACACATCATCAACAATATTTCTTTTGCTGCTGCTTGGTATGTTGATAACACTGGTGCTGAGCATCCCTGCAACCTCTGTTTGTTCTTCTCTGTGCTGTGTTGTTGTTGTGGACAGCCAAGGAAAAGTTCTCAGTGGAAGAGTACAGTCTTAGCCAGGCGTCCCTTGAACAGGTAAGATGTTTCCCACTACGCATACTGTACATGCATGGGCTATGTGGTATGTCAGCCCTACTTGATAAGGTTTACCAGGTATGGCGATGATGATGATGATGATGATGATGACAGCACATCACATGGCCAAGGCCACAAGGCCGAGACTGCCAACTGGTCTCCGGTTGCAGTCGGGAACACTGTTTTCCGTCCAGTGTGTCCTCCGTCTGGTGCTGTGCTGTGCTGTGCTGTGCTGTGCTGTCATCATTATCATACCTGGTATACTGTGTGTAGTGAAGTACTTCCAGTATCAACAGTTACTGTATTCTAGTGTCCAGGATGGTCTCTGTATTCTAGTGTCCAGGATGGTCTCTGTATTGTAGTGTCCAGGATGGTCTCTGGACTGAAGCTGAAAGTAACAGTTGGCCAATGTATGCGACCTTTTTTTTGTTTTCTGTTCTTCTCTTGCCCCGCTCAGGTCTTCATCAACTTTGCTAAGAAGCAACACGACGCGAAATAGACCAGCACAATTCCAGTGGCAGTATTAAAGCTTGAACCAACAGCTACATTGTACTAGCAAGAGTACTGGGATGGCGGCACAGTTCCCTCACCGGTGCACACACGCAACACCCGTGCTGTGCCGTGTGCAGTTGGTCCCATGCCCGTACAGTAGTTATAAGACTGGGAGTAGTATTTTTACTACTCCGTGGTTACAAGACTGGGAGTGCAGTCGGCGGTCCCTTACCCATCCAGTAGTTACAAGACTGGGAGCGCCGAACTTACTTGACATCCTCCTATGCCCATATCTCTCTGACGACTTGGATGACTGGTTGGCACTCGCGATGGTACTGTGCTGCTGCTGCTGGTGGTCCAGTACGTCAGTAGGGGATTATTTACAAACAATATCACAATGGACGTTACACCGAGTACGAGTAACCGACTGTTTTCGATGACACGTCAGCGATGAAACAATGATATTGCCGTTGTGCCTGCACTCATGTACAGTATTAGTTTCTGTCTACTCTCTCTCTCTCTCTCTCTCTCTTCATCTTTTCAATTTTTATGAAAGCCATTTCGTGGCATTGCGTTCGATCCTCGGCCTGGACTACGTGTTTCCACTGCTTTTAGATACCGGTCTTTCCGAAGACAAAGGTCCTCCTTGAATACTAGCCAACATGGTGCATGCATCTCAGCTGTACACTTCTCAGGTGTATTTCCAGTCGATCACCTACTCAGTACCATGGTTTAATTTTTACCCTGTATTTTTACTTTAGTTTCTTGATCAGTTTTAATGCATGACAGTATAGGTTTCTTCAAACACTCGTAAATCGTATCGATCCCCTCACCCTGTACTTCGAGTAGTATTCCGGGTCCTTATTACATTTGAGTGCTTTGAGTTCTTTGACCATTGTTGTTAATTGTGAACACGGCACACACACGCACCCTCGTCCTTTGAAAAGCCAACGTGCACCTCGTCCGAAGCCATTGTTGAAATTGTCCCATGCAAGCTGCTTCCACTGTACCCATGTATGTACACAGCAGCCACACGCAGCAGACACAGCAGAGGTTGTCAAATCTCACTCTTGTTCAGTTCTCCAAACATGGATGAATGTGTGAACTGAAACAAACAAGAAGCATCACACCACCAGGAAGCTTGGTAATGGTTTATCCGCACCATTGTGGCAATTTGGCCGGCTCAAATCAAAATGGGAAAAAAAGAGTCAAACACGTCGTACTGCAAGAAAGTCCTTGCCAAATCAAAATGTCGTTCGTCCCGACAAGCCTGCAAAGCTGCAGCGGAACAATGGTTTGAAAAAGCTGGTAAATCGAAACAAATAAAGAAGAAGCGGACACAGCAGGCTCACCGTTCAAAAAGCAAAAGCACACTCGGTAGCCCGAGTGAAATAAATGTCTCATTTTATGTACTATAGTCAGCAATGGGAATTTATTTAGATGCAGGTGAGCTGAAGCATGTGGATATGCTCAATACACACCAATGCCATGGATTCAAACTAAACCATTTACGAGAATGGTTGGCAAGGAGAGTGGTACATGTACATGCAAAACAGGGGAAGGGGGGGGGGGGGGAAGGGTCAACGGCCTCCATACACTGGCGATGGGACACAGAAAACATGTGCATGTGTGCACGTGTGATCTTGTTCAGCGGCGGTGGGGTAGGGTGTCCAGGTGTGCATGCCTGCGCATGCTAGTGCGGGCGTGCAAATATATGTGTGTGTGTGTGTGTGTGTGTGTGTGTGTGTGTGTGTGTGTGTGTGTGTGTATGTATGTACGTGTGCGGATGTGTGGTGTGGGGTGTGGTGTGTGTGTGTGTGCGTGTGTGTGTGCATGCCTGTGTGCATGTGTGGTGTAGTGTGTGAGGGTAGTAAGAGGTAGAAAAGTGTCCTGATGGAGACATATCAGAAATGAATAGTCAGCATGCGTTTGGTGCGAGGATAGTTGGCTCAAAGTACATGAAGATACTTGCATGCAGCGGCAAATGGTAACAATTAATGAGAACGCGTAGACGACGAGGAACGCATGAGTGAGCTACGCAGATTGAGCGGAACGCGGATGAAAAGCAATAGTTGAGCGGGGCAGGGGAAGCTAACTACTGCATGAATAGCTGCATGCTGACGGACGGGACGGGAGAGGATGAGTTTCACATAAGCCAGCGATAGGACACTCAGTCGAGGACGTACCACGAATGGGACTTGCGGACAGCAAACAAGAGCAGCAAGGGGAACAGTGCGCGGGGCCAGGGGAAAGGGTTGAGGTATAGGTAAACAAAAAGTGATTAACAAGGCATAATTCTCAATTAAAAGGCATGACCCACAAGATAATGTATAGCACAAAGCGGAAGACTCGGAATACCATGGTTTCTAGACTGCATCGAGCACAGTCGTGCGCATCACTTACGCATACCTAGCTGCCAATGCAGCCAGTGCTGCCAGAGCGCCTAATCTCTTATACTAGGTATGCTGCTTGCTGACCTGCAGCTGCTGGATAGCCAGGAAGAAGACTAGCTGGCCAAGTACCCTGTGACGCCTGCATTGCAGCAGCCTGGAAACAACACAAACAAACACAAATAATTATAGAAGCAGCAGCAGCACCAGCACCAGCAAAAGTAGCAGCAGCAGCAGCAAGCGGTCTCATTAGAGAGGTTCTGCAAAACGAAAATGCGTCCAAACTTTCGCAACTTTGGACGCGAAACTTGCAGGGAACGTGAAATGAACTTTCGTAGGAAGTTTCGTGGGTCATGGCGTACGTGCACTTGGCGCGTACAAACTACGAAAATGTGTAAACGCAAAGTTCGTGCGAAAATTCGTACACACTTTCGCAAGGACCGTTGTGAAATTTCGTTCGAATTTTCATTTTGCAGAAGTTCTCTACTGCTCATGAAGTCATTAGCCTCACTACTGTAAGAATTAGGAACCCGACACTTCTGCTATGACCAGCAAAGACATTCTAAACGCTCAACAATCACCAGTACAGTATCCTCCACTACTGTCTACACACCAATGAAGACAGCGTATCGTTGCATGTCCCACTTCTCACTCGGTGCCGTATGTGTTCCAGTTCGTCACTAGATTACTCGCTATGCACTAGATTACTCGCTATGCACTACATCACAACCGTAACACACACTACATGTAGTAATTCTGCCATCTATCAACCAGTAGTACCCATCTATCAACTAGTAGTACCCATCTATCAACTAGTAGTACCCATCTATCAACTAGTAGTACCCATCTATCAACCAGTAGTACCCATCTATCAACCAGTAGTACCCATCTATCAACTAGTAGTACCCATCTATCAACCAGTAGTACCCATCTATCAACTAGTAGTACCCATCTATCAACTAGTAGTACCCATCTATCAACTAGTAGTACCCATCTATCAACTAGTAGTACCCATCTATCAACTAGTAGTACCCATCTATCAACTAGTAGTACCCATCTATCAACTAGTAGTACCCATCTATCAACTAGTAGTACCCATCTATCAACTAGTAGTACCCATCTATCAACTAGTAGTACCCATCTATCAACTAGTACCGTAAAGTACCGTTGATCCGCCCCCTCTCTAATTCCCGCCCCCTGTCGATTTTCTCCTTGTGAAGCGACTTCGGTGTATACAACGAAATACGATGTTGAACCGACGCATGCACTGCTGTACACAATACTTGCCAATCCAGGATCAAAATGTGCACAATCCAGCACATTGAGTCTGATCCTCTACGTTGTTGTACATCGTACTGCACTTGACAGCCTTGATCTAATTCCCGCCCCCCCTGCCGAAAACCCAGCTGGAAAGCGACATGGCGTGGGGGCGGATCAACGGTACTTTACGGTAGTACCCATCTATCAACTAGTAGTACCCATCTATCAACCAGTAGTACCCATCTATCAACTAGTAGTACCCATCTATCAACTAGTAGTACCCATCTATCAACTAGTAGTACCCATCTATCAACTAGTAGTACCCATCTATCAACTAGTAGTACCCATCTATCAACTAGTAGTACCCATCTATCAACTAGTAGTACCCATCTATCAACTAGTAGTACCCATCTATCAACTAGTAGTACCCATCTATCAACTAGTAGTACCCATCTATCAACTAGTAGTACCCATCTATCAACTAGTAGTACCCATCTATCAACTAGTAGTACCCATCTATCAACTAGTAGTACCCATCTATCAACTAGTAGTACCCATCTATCAACTAGTAGTACCCATCTATCAACTAGTAGTACCCATCTATCAACCAGTAGTACCCATCTATCAACTAGTAGTACCCATCTATCAACTAGTAGTACCCATCTATCAACTAGTAGTACCCATCTATCAACTAGTAGTACCCATCTATCAACTAGTAGTACCCATCTATCAACTAGTAGTACCCATGCACGTCCTAGCAAGCACAGCCGACATGACGAGCACACCCACCTGCTGCATGTACGCTTGCTGTCCATAGAATGCACTGCTGGAAACGGGCACGGCCGGCCTACCAAACACCTATATGACACATACATACACACAGTATTAGTATAGCAGACATAGCAAAACTATTATTGAGAGAGCGTGAGAGAGCATGAGAGAGCGTGAGAGAGAGAGAGAGAGAGAGAGAGAGAGAGAGAGAGAGAGAGAGAGAGAGAGAGAGCGAGAGCGAGCGAGCGAGAGAGCGAGAGCGAGAGCGAGAGCGAGAGAGAGAGAGAGAGAGAGAGAGAGAGAGAGAGAGAGAGAGAGAGAGAGAGAGAGAGAGAGAGAGAGGCAGCGTAGCCTCATTCACCCTTAGATGCATATTTGAGCATGACACATTCATGCGGACATCATACTTGCTTGAGCGGTACCACATAATTAGCCTAGACAAAAGATATCATACTAAGTCCATATTCGTCGTGTTCCGTTGCATCCACAATAGGGACCTTTCGCACCCCGCGTACGGATACGAAACGCATGCTGATTCGTCACCTGGGTTCGATGATTCGTCAGAGTCCCTGCGGAGAACTCGTTTTCACGAATGGAAGCCTCTTCATTCGTGGCACGCTCCGAATCAGTCAGGTACACATTTATTTGGATAGGTACACATGTTTTGCAAGGTACACATTTTTCCCTTGATTCCATGATCCATGCACGTGTGCGTGTAAAAACCCGTACGCCAAGCTACCGGCGCCCGCGGCCGTATTCGTAGTTGCCATGCACATTTGCATGACGACTTGCGAAACCTGAAATCTGTTTTCAACGAAACGAGCCGAATCAAACTTTCGTTTCGCATTCGTTTCGCATTCGTTTCGTAGCAAATGCGAAAGGTCCCTAATATCTGCAGTTCACTCCTCTCTGACATGTTCTCCCTTCGCTGTGACTGCGCTCACACAGATAGAGTGACCCGTGGCCAAGTCAATTATTCCCTTTCCTTACCCATTGTGCAAGCTCAAGCTGGATGCAGATCTATTTCATTCCTTGGTGCTGACCGCTTTCCCGAATCCCTTCGCACAAATCATATCCTCAATTCATTTGGCCAGGAACTTAACAATTTCATTCATCTTGGGCACCCTGTAAGAAGACCTTAGGGTCTGTTGGGAATGCCCAAGTAAAATAATAAAATATAATACAATACAAATCCAAAATCAACAGTATCACTCATTTATTCAACTCCACTCTGCTCCAGACTTGCATCACACTGCTCAGTCACACAGCACATGTTTCTGACTGTAACTGACCTGATACGGTGGGAGGAACTGCTGGAACTGAAACACGAGACAAGCAAATGCGCACGCACACACACACACACACACACACACACACACACAGACACACACACACAGACACACACACACACACAGAAGCAAAGTAACGTGAGTATACAATGTAGGTCAATTCTACAAGAAAACACCTGACAACAACAATGTGCGTTCCAAAGGCAACCGTGGAGAACACGCTGCATAAATGTTACCATATCAATAACACAGCCCATGAGAGAAGAGAGAGCGAGAGAGAAAGAGAGAGAGAGAGAGAGAGAGAGAGAGAGAGAGAGAGAGAGAGAGAGAGAGGGAGAGGGAGAGGGAGAGGGAGAGAGAGAGAGAGAGAGAGAGAGAGAGAGAGAGAGAGAGAGAGAGAGAGAGAGAGAGAGAGAGAGAGAGAGAGAGAGGGAGAGAGCGAGAGAGAGAATAACCATGGCCAGACATCACTGACACTGAGCTACACTGGAAAACATCACAAAGCCATGTTCTACTGCTGCTGCTACTGAGTAGAAGCAGCACAAATACTAAGTTTTGAAGGGCATACAAGCAGTACAAGCGGACAGTAAACCATATAGATACCGGTAAATACACCATTTCTGTAAAGCGGGTATTGTTTGCGACAAGAAATGTTCGCAACATGTGACTTGCCACCCCTTGCAAAAGTTGCAAACAATGCAGTGCATTATTCAGCTACATGTACCTGGAATACTTGTCCCGCTTGTCCACTGCTAAAGAATGTGAAGCAGAAAACAAACAGTCATAGAGACCAGGACACACGCCCGGCCAGGGAACATGATCAGTTTTATATCCACAAATGACTAACATCTTATAGACAAGTGGAATCACACACGAGTATGACGGGTTTATCGTTCACTGCCACCGACAGCTACTTTACCAGCTAACAAGAAGAGGTGTGCCAACAAGAATTCCCATTTTGCTGCACAGTCATTTTATGCATCAAATGCTGATGTCGGCAAAAAGCGATGTCCTGAAAGAAGGACCTGCTAGCATTCTGGTATGTTCCTGCTCTGAACTACGTGTTGTCCATGCACTCACTATACTAGCACATGTAAGTATACTGCACACTACCTGTCACATGCACATGCCATTACAATGTCACAGAGGCTGGATATGGACACGATCAATTCAGATATATATGATTTCTACTGCAGGATGCGCAGCAAATAATCTGCATGGAGAGCATGCTATTCTAGCTAGGCGCTGCCAACAAGACCTAGACAGATAGACAGTTGTGTAGCTGAGTTGCATGCCAGAGAAATCACCCTTGTGGCTCAGCGACACACCATGGAAGCCACAGCACAACCATGGGCTAAAAGCACCCATACCCTACAGTCCATTCATCGGAAACTGGCCCGCTGGCTTTTGAAAGTCGGATTTGGGCCGAATTGAGGATCAAAAACTCATTTTAAATCTCAAAAATCTGGGTTTCGGATCGGCTTCTCCATACATTTTGCCATGGCATACCTGTCCTAATTTTGTAAAACCTGGCTGAATTTCTATTTCCCTGTTCTTGGACTTTTCTGGCCTCAACTGTGGCAAGGAGTAATTGCACGGGTCACACAATGCAGGATGTACTGTTGGTTTCACGATATCCACAACTATGTGAGGGAGACACCAAAAAGTTAGGGTGCCAGTTTCCAATGAATGGACTGTAGTCTGGTGTTCAAGGACCATCCGAAACTCAAACACAGTCTATTATCGGTGGACGCACTAGTTTCAAGTACGATATTTGACATGTTCACACTTACACATCGTATGCTAACGGTGATGGCGAGTCAAATGTTTCGGGGAAGAGCGGTGTAGGAATGGAGCTATCTGTACACATAGAACAGCACCAAACAGCACAAATTGTTAGAGGCGTGCGTCGCAAAATTAATGATAGAATCAGGAAAAGTTAAACTAGCTGTGGTTGTACAGGTGGCTATTAAAGCTAGTTTGGCCAAGCAAACATAATAAAATATCGCATCAAGTTTTTGAATTCCACTGGTGTATTCTGAGAGAACATGTTGAACTACCATACACCCAAGCACCCATATCGCTGTGCCCTACTGGACTCTAGCCATCACACATGAAGCTTGAGCAATCGACTAGACACTTGAATGGTTGCATTGCTTCATTGCTCCACATCATTAACGATTCGACTTTCCATCAATTTTTCTTTGAGAACTCTGAAGCTCCATTGTAGGCTTGCCATTGTTGCAACCTGCAACCCACTGAACACAAACAGTTATTGGCTACACTGCACGACTCGATTTCATCCGTCTTTTCACCCAGGAGGGTGTCATCAGACTGCTGCTGGCTGGAGCAGTCTCTCCTGGAACATTTTTCCTGGTTAGTTGCCATCTAGATCTGCTTTGACCTTTGAAAGAAGTAGAGGTACAACCAGCATGACCGAGCATTACACCATTACCCAGCCTTGAAACGAGGTACTCTTCCAAGTTCCAACCCAAACTAACCCCGCAACATGATGCTAAACAAACTCATCAATGCAAACTGGAGATTGACTGCGGCTATACTCAAACACTGAAGCAAAAATTCTAATTCTCAATGCCAACAAACACGACACGTTGAAAATAGGTCAAACATGTTTGTCCTCTAGTCGTTCTGTGATCAAAGCGTGATTCACAATACCACTTTTGTGATGCAATGTGCGGCACCCGCGAAGAGCTACGGCCACGACACACCATTTACAATCCCTTTGGCTTTTACAACATCTAAATGCTGTACATAGTGCATCCATGTGCGCTGTACGTGCAACCAGCTTTGTAAACCGTACTCAATTGATTGATGCATCGCAAAACATGGAAGTTGAACTTTGGTCAACTTCTGGAACAGTGGCCTTGTGACAGTACGCAACAGGTATTTCCTTGTCGCACGTCGGGTGGCAAAGAGAGACTTTCTGAACTGTTTTAAAAACACTGCCCGCGGCAAGAAGTTAATAAATCCCAAGTGGAGAGTCAACGATCATACCAGGGATTACCCATCCATGCACTGGCAATCTGAAGCAAACAACAGTCACTATGCTTTGGTGGAATACTCGCTGACACGGATGGAAACAGGAAATACCAATTGCAGTGCACCATTGAATGGATGCCATTATAAAAGAAACCCTAGATTGCGTACTAGAACGACCTGTTGCGATTGACCAATTAGCAATCAATACGGACTGCACACGGGTGGGTAGCACACAGTGCACATACAGTTTGGAATGCCACACAGTACACAGTACACATGCGCACGCAGACGCCTACTGTAGTACAAACACACACACACACACACACACACACACGCACACACACACACGTACACACACACACACACAGTCTATACCTTTGGAGGACACACGGCGTCGGTTGCTGATGTCGGCAAACTTGACATGGAGAGGAGTAGTTCCAGGGAATGCTGTAGGCACATGGTGCAGGCACATAGATGTAACTTATGGTCTATCTCATTTAGCTTGCAGAATAAACTCTTACCAGAAGCACGGTGGTACAGTATAGACAGTAGAGGTTTAACAAGCAAGGGAATGGTGACTACACGTGCCTAACACAAACTCGAATGCACAGCCGTATACAACTGCCTGTGTTACAGTCAGGTATTTGGGATACAAAATAAAATAAAAACGGTATAATCTGCGGCGTTCTGGTTGTGGCCCTTAGCAGTGTTGCAGGACACAGTACTGTGGGCTGCACAGTACTGAGCAAGCAGAAGAGTTGCTACACGATTTTGTCCAACTCCAAAGAGGGCAAAACGAAGGGCGGTTCATCCCGCAGACTGCGACAAACATTTTTTTATTATTAAAGCTGGACAAAGCAAAGTTAGTGGGGCACGGAATTTACTCCGAAAACTACCCGGACAAAATTTAATTCCCGACCATTCTTTCTACTTGTACAGCCGTAAGACGTAGTTGAGTGGCGCATGAGGACAAAGACCATTTACCCTGTTTTGTAGGGTACTCAATACCTGGGTTTATTTTTTTTTACCCTTTTTTACTTTCGTACTGTACAACCGTAAGAGAATAGCGTGGTTTTGTCAAGTGGCGGCAACTTGCAACAACTCCATACAAGCCCAATCAAGCAGAGATTGCTATCAATGTCTCACTGGAGGGGCGGAGAGGGACGAGGCGGCTCACATAAACAGGACCAGTACAAAGCATATCAGGCATCACCCACACGACTGCTACATTCGCACGCGACAACGTATACAGAATACACACAAGACAAAAAGCATACTCACATGGCAGGACTTGTCCATTAAACTTGGCAATCGCTCGCTCGCATGATTCCTTGGTTTGCATTCTACACAAGCAAATCATAAAGCAAGAAAAGGACGAAAATGGAGAAAAGTCACCGTCACCGCATAGCGCAGCACGCACACACACATGGTGAACAGCACAGAAAACCAAACACATTGCAGAATAGAACAACTCTGACGGACGCCTGGCAAGTGACACAACCACCTACTGTACACTCAACTCTCGGTTATCAAGACGCAAAACAGCCAGCAGGCACCATGGCCATGGTCCACCATGTCATGTTGATATGTCATGTGACTTGACTGACATGTCTGGGTAGAGCCTCTTCAAGGCATGTCTCAATACGCCAAGTTGTGCGCAGAAGTTCCATGCACACAATTGTATGTACTGCGTTTCAAGTCCAGCAGGCACTGCACATGTCACAGCATACATGACTATCGTAGCATTGTCTTTGCAGGATACCTAGTCAAGTTCTGACGATGGGTGACTGGCTCGCAAGTCAACAATATATGAGCCAGGGACTATAGAAACCGCCCTACGACGTTTGATATCAAAATCAAGTTATGACGTTTCAAAGTCACGCGACTCAAAGTTACGCAAAGCGCAGAACTCGTCACTTTTGTTTTGACAAGACTCAAGAGCTGTCCTTTTGTTAGGTGTTCGGGGAAGGATTCCGAGCTCGAGCGATTGTCGAGTAACTCATGAGGCTCCACTTACTGTGATTGATTATGGCTACAACATCTAGTAGACGACGCAGCTCGATTCTGTGTGGAGTCGACTAGTCCCTGATGCGAAGGCGCTTGAATCGGACGACGAGAATTTTTACGGATTCAGCGCTGGCACCCGCGAGTCGTCCGCGAGCGATTCGGACACCGATGCTGACAGCGACGGCGATGATATGCCACCTAAGAAGAAGACGTGTGGAGTCACAGCAAGCTCGAGTGCTGCTAGTGTTGTGTCGAAAACGCCAAGCCCCGACAGCTCGGAAATTTCAAACGCGGAGAGTGACACCGACTACTCGGAATCGGATGACGAACCTAGTTAGCAGATACCCCCGCACCTGAGCCACTGACGACGGAGCAGGTGAAGCGTGGTCTCCTCGGACATACACGATGGGATTGAGAGAGGCTGTGGATGCAAGTCGAAGAATCATTGGAAAGTCATCCCAGAGCAGCAGCTCGAGGACTACATATTTGAAGTCTCTAAACTGCGAGAATCGAAAAAGCGCTTCAACAGTTCAAGCAGTTTGTTCTGGGCGCACTGACTGGAAGCATGCGAAAGTCGATGATTGGAGGTGGTGATCGACCTTTCTATTTCCGCTATCATGTACGTGGTTACGAGTTGTGCAAAGACGTGTTCATGGCAGTTCATGCTGTTGGAAGTCATGTAATGAAGCGCCTTCAAAAAAGGCAAACAAAGGAGTCGTTCAACTGGCACAACATGGCTTGACTGGGAGAACACCAGAGCACTTGGCCATTTCAGAAGACATAGAGCAGGATGTAGTGCAGTTTATTTAGTCATAATTATGCTAACATGTACGGTCTACCTCAACCTGCAGCGGAGCGAGGTCGTGCTGAAGACCCTCCAGTATATTTACCAGCATCCGAGAACAAGAAGTCTGCATACAATATCTACACCAAGACCGTCACACAGTATTCGCCTGTTCATTACAGGTCATTTTGCCACATTTGGAGGAGACAGGCAGCACACATCAAAGTGATGAAGCCAAGGACAGACGTATGCGCACTGTGTGACAATCTGCGGTACAAAATTCGTGTCGCCCGTACAGAGGAAGAGACGGAATGTAGTGTCCAGGCCCTGCGTTCGCACACATCGCTAGCACAAGAGGAGTGGCAGTACTACCGAGATTTAGTGGACGGCGCGCAGGCGTCACTGGATGAAGCTGAAGGCAAAGTTCACTATACATTTGAACTGCCTAACTAGCAAGAATGAAGATATACAAAGAACATTACATACTGTGTACATAAATTTGCTCTATATCGCTCAATTGATATGCCATTATTAAATAGGTGGTTAGGCACATTTTACCATCGCAGATCAACTTGAAATTTTGTTTGAGCACATTACCATACCATACCAACATTTTGAGAGAAAAAAATTTTTTCGCCAAAAAGTGCCATAGGGTGGTTTCTGTAGTCCCTGGCTCATATACAGGACTCAGTAAACCAAGAAGTCATTCAAGCGCTTTGAGAATTTGAGTGCGTAGCAACTGCAAAGAGCGATTGTCAGTTGACATTTCACCCTTTGTTTTTGGATAGCCAAGGTGAAGCAGATAGGATACAGTCTACACAGGGACTGTACGCTGGCACCACGCCGCATTCAGCAGCAACAACACAACACAACAACACAGCAACACAGCAACACAGCAACACAGCAACACAGCAACACAGCAACACAACAACACAGCAACACAACAACACATAGAGTAAGTACATGTACGGCTAGCAAGTACCTGCAGAATCCAACACCTTTGCTCTGTCCGGTGGAGAGGTCACGCAGGATACGCGTTGACACTATAGTTCCGCATGGTTCCAGGATAGATTCTAGGGTCTGTACAGGGGCAAGAACAGGGGAGAAGGAAAGAGCAACTAGGCTGAGCAAGCAGCTGAGAGACAGAGGTCTGAGAAGTGTCTGTGAGGCTGAGCACAAGAAGAATAAAGAGCCAGGTAACGATGGGTAGTAGAATGTACATGTATGTGCAATGCGTGTGAGATACAGTGAGCAAGGCTGTTAGTGTAACATAGGACACACTGTACACCTAATACTGCTGTTAGTGTAACACAAGACAGCCTGTACATCTAACACCAGATACGACCTGCATGACTTGTAGTGCCATACACAATAGTGCAAACATTACACGCCTTTCGCGCCAGCAAAGATTGTCACCCAATCACACAGGAGCATGACCAATAGTGAACCTAACATCAAGTGCTAGAGAAACATAGTGCTAAAATGCCACACTCAGAAGAAGTCTCCCCAAGTACAAGTGCTGGAGAAACGTAGAGCTAAAAATGCCAGCCACACTCAGAAGTCCCCTCAAGTACAAGTGCTAGCAGATCGAGTATGGGCGCCGGTTTACGACTATTAAAGGTAGATGTTCTGACCAGCAAAGAGATGACGACACAGGGGAACAATCTAACAGGCAATACATGACAAGAGATGCCATTGTGCTAGGGCATAGAGCACTCACCTTTTCATCAACGTTATAGGGTAGATTAGCAATGTAGAGATTAGTTGTGTCGAGGTTTGATGCTCGCTCCGACGAGTTACTGCTGTGACCGGCACTGGTCGAGTTCATCTGTCCGTGGCCGTGGGGCTGCATTGGACATGAGCACATGCGAGGAGCAAAGCAGAAACAGAGACACAGGACGCGCACAGCACTATCAGCAGTGTGCATTGCAGCAGGGTGGTGGCTTGCGAAAGTGCACGGCTTCTTCATATAATGCACACAATTACCTAGGGTTCCCTGCAAGATAAGAATAATCTGTTGGGAGTCCCTCTGTTTAAAAAAATAATAATAATCTACTTCTCTACTACGGCACTCATATGTCTAAGCAGTCCAGAACCAGGCACTGCTGATAACATTTAAAATGTCTGTAACTCTGGCGTGCCGATGGGGAAGGGCCAGAGATCTGGCATAGGACTTCACTACGTCCAGAAAAATGGCAAAAGAGTAGTAATATTTCCACTAAAACTCACCCACAGGGTGCCCGCTAGACTGAGTTGACCATGACTTCGAGGTCCGGATAACAGAGATACGAGTGTACTAGTTATTCATGCAAAATGGCTTGCAGCATATCTTGGCGGAAAAACTGAACCAGATCTTTCTCTTTCGGCCATTGCAACAACAGTGAACAGGTTGCCTTGGAGCCGGTATGGATAATCAGTGACACTAGATCCCTCCACAACCAGGTACAATACAACAATCCCCCGTCAAAGGAGACAAACTAAGAGAGGTGGCAGAAGACTTAGGAACAAGGTCAAGCGAAATGTAGAATCGGTTGTGGCGACAAACGCGATTAGGCCGGCTGCAGGGACGCCGTAATGTCGCACTCGCCCCAGCACCATTCAAACAATTCCCTTTGGCAGTTCACGGCACGAACTTCAACAAAGACCCCGTGAATGCGTACCAGGGGAAGGCTAGACAGCATGTCTCTAGACATCAATAGGCATCGTATGAAAAGCCAGTCAATATCACTAAAGAGCGAAAGCCTTCGTCACGGTTCGGTTTCACTCGCGCACGGGGCCCGAGCTGGCAGCACAAACAAACGCCGGACGCGAGCTGGCAGCACAAACAAACGCCGTACTCACACGAGACCGTTGGGCCAACGGATGGCCACAGCCATCAAAAACAGGAACAAACCCATCCACGGCTCTTTCTCTTGCTAGCTGTGCTGCTGCGTGGATCCAACTGTTTTGCAATTTCTCCCTCCCACCCACGCCTCCTGGTATTTATTATCGCTCTACACTATTCTACGTCTCACAATGAGTGCCACTCAGCATGATGGTACTCCAAGCTACATTGTATTTGATCTGTCCTAGCTCACTATTCTGGACAAAATATTAATTCAATTGCAATGAAGCGCCGGGGGCCGGCGGGGGCATTCGGCGGCTTGGTCTGATTCCTAGCTTGTTGGTAACCGGCTTGAGATTTCCAAGGTTGCTATGACAACGTGCAGTCATGCGCAGGGCCACCCAACATGCATTTGGGGGCCCAGGAAAGACAGAAACGCGTTGCTAGGCAACAGCAAAAGCGCTGGCGAGTATCACACTACTCATGCAGCACGCACGTTGGCTTAGGGTATCACGCTACCCTTGCGCTGCGGGGTACCACATTGCCCCTCGCTGGAATCAGACCCGCACCCCGGATACCTTGCGCTGGCCTCCTGACGGCCAAACTCAACCAACTTGTGCGCTGTGACTGGGGTTGTGCATGTATTAGCAACATAATGTGGCCCAGGTCGGCAGACTTTCAATTAGCCAAGCGAGCTACTCAGGCCAGGGTGCATGATCACTATTCGCAGCACTTATCGTCCATGCAGCAGTCGGGTTAATGCAGATATACAATCTAACAAGACATCAGACACGCCTAGAGTAGGCAGTACACCCCAATAAGAAAAGACTGTTTTCATTGAGCAGCACAAACCTTCTCCAACGACAGGCGTGCAAAGTGCACATCCACTGCTTGGTCTTTCAATGCCGTGAGTGCAGTGGCTGCGGCTTGGTGCGTCTCGAAGTCCACAAAGCCATAGCCTAAACAACGCACGCACACAAGCAACGCACGCACGCATACATACACACACATGCACATGCGCACGCACACACACGCACACACACGCACACACACATAAACACAAGTGTGTGTGGGGGTGTTGGGTACACTATCAACTCACATACCACCTCTAATTCACCACTAACTTTCTAGGATTATGGCAACTGCAGGCAGCAGGAATTGCCATTCCCTGCAAACACAGTTCGTCCTGTTGAAGACAACTAACTGAGGCGGCCCAAGAATAAGGAACAGGATCAAAGGGATGATAGCGATGCAAATAGAAGTCAATGATATCTCTTTTTTATTACTGTAAAATCCCGCCAGAGTCCCGCATGCTCGACCCGGTTGGAAATGTACGCAACAGCTCCCACCCTGTTGACCAGGAATCGCACAAAACTTGGGGGTTTTGGTAGGTCTGTACGACACCCTGCTCTTGACCTTTGGTGGGAGTACGAGACGCACGCACAGTTTTCGTAAGGTGAGTACTTTTTCATGTACTTGTACTGAATGCGGCAAGTAGGACTCGCCCATCCCCACCTGGACCTACTCGAAGGGTGGCGGAGGTACAGTCCATTTCAAAACTATAGACGCGTGAACTCATACGTACGAGTCGTACGTACTGTAGCGCACGACAGCTGTGAGTTTTGCATGAGTGTTTTCTGGTTTTCAGATGTGTTTTTCAGGTTTTTCTTCGTCGCCGCGGGAAATACAAAAGATGCAAAACACGCAAAGTCGCAAATGAAAAGGTGTAAGGAAAGTCTCAAATGAATCTTCTTCTTGTTTGCATTTTCTGAGTGCCTGACTGTAATGGCTTCCAAGGCCCGTAAGAATCTCAGTGATGCCGAGAAAGATATGATTAGTCGTGTTCATTGTTTCTTCGAACAAGAGCTGGATTTTGATCGCCGCTGGAGTATCCGAAATCCTCGTCGTCGAACTCACCTTGCAACTGGCGTGAGTGAAACCACTGTCACTCGTTGTGTCAGGTGAAGTTGGGGAGGAGGTGGCTACTATCGTGTTGGTGGTGAAAATCTTATTGATTCTGAAGGCGAAGCTCAAAACGAGTCTCCTACCAAAACAGGCCGGCCAAAGGTGGAACTGGACGACTTCACGAAGTGTTCTGTGATGCAGGTGTTTCACGGATTTTTTCGTGAGAGACAAATTCCAACGGTGGCAAAGGTGTTCCAGAAGTGTGTGGAGTCGATTCAGTGGTATGGAAAAGAAGGAACACTAGCAGCAAACAAGCAGCCAATGGAGGCACCGTCTGGAAAAGGCAAGCGTCTCATCATTTTGAACGCGGGATGGGCAGGTGGATTTCTCCCAAATTGTGGCCTGGTGTTCATTGGCAACACGAAAAGTGCAGACTACCCTGACGAGATGAATGCACTTCACTTTGAAGAATGGTGGGAAGATCAGCTTATGCCAAATCTACCCCCTGGTGCTGTGATCGTCACGGACAATGCACCATACCACTCCGTTAAAACTGACGAGAGTACAGCCCCAACCAGCTCCACCCGGAAAGGCGATATGCAAGCCTGGCTCACGGACAAAGGCGTAGCATGGACCCAGGACATGCTGAAACCGGAGTTGTATAAGCTGGTGAAGGCCCACAACCCCCAGTCAGTTTACAGATGTGACGACCTTGCTGCCCGACAGGGCTTCATGGTGCTGCGACTTCCCCCCTACCACTGCGCGTTCAATCCCATTGAGCTGGTGTGGGCCTGGATCAAGGGAGAAGTTGGGAAACGCAACAAGACCTTCAAGATTGCGGACGTCAGAGAGCTCGTGAAGGTGGTCATGGCTGAGATGCCTCCAGAGCAATGGGCAAGTGCAGTTGAGCATTGCAGCAAACTAATCGATGAAGCATGGGTGACAGACGGTCTTCAAGAAGAGATTTGTGAGCAGATAGTCATAACCCTGGGCGGCGATAGCAGCACCTCAAGTGACTCGGAATGAATACCTCTCCGACGGAGTGTGTGCTTCGCCACTGCCTTGCTGAGCCGTAGCCGCTTCTGTTTTTTGGTGCCTTACCTTTCTGACGGAGCGTCGGTCTCGCATTTAACCTCACTCCTTCAAAGGAAGTGTGGGGCTCTGATACGCTTGGGCAGCCTTGTGACTCCATATCCGGTGATTTGGGGCGTGTGTTGCTTGGCATTCGATTTGAACAATGGCTCCGTCTTGCATTGAACCTCACACCTTCAAGGGAAGTGTGGGGCTCTGATACGCTTGACAAATGAACGGTTGGGCAGCCTTGTGACTCCATACCCAGTGATTTGGGGCGTGTGTTGCTTGGCAGTGAATGATGGCTCAAGGGAAGTGTGGGGCTCTGATATGCTTGACGAGATGTATGGCTGGGCAGTTTGGTGACTTCTGGCATTGTCTCACTGAGACATTCACCTTGCAAATGATAATGATAAACCAACTCTTCTGTGTGATTCATTTTGTGTGATTTGAATAGTAGACCTGGATGTACACTGGATGTACACCGGAGTCACCAGCGTGTCGGGGGAAAGGTTGATGAATAGTTTTTGGGAAAGTTTGGTTTTGCTTGTCCGCTGCTTTTCAGAGTTGTGGGCAGAAAACTGTTCATGCCGTTGCCATGCAACTAGGCTGCGTGGTCGCATGGACGCTGATTTTGGTCGCAGTGTGAGCACGCCCTACTGCGGTGTTTTTTTATTGAATGAGACTGGGAATTACATACATATTATGTTTGATAGTAAAGAAAAAAGGACTAAGGAACTACAAGTTACGCTATACTGTCCACTAACATGTTTGGCATTGTTTGTACGATATTTGCAAGATGTTTTGCACGATGTTTCTTCTTTTCTTTTATGAAAAGGGAACAGGGGGGGGGGCTCAAATCATATCAAAAAGCGAAAATATAATTATCATCCCTACTGTATTTCACCCAACAAGATCCAAAACATGCAGAAAAGAAGAGAAAAAAGGCAGGAGGCATGATGGGATTCAAATGCCCCACACTTGTACTGGAAATCACGGATCGAAACCACGAGGCTACCAGGACCCGTACAAAAATGCACCCGCGATGGTCTGGGCGTAGCACTGTCTCAGCAGGAGCAAAAATCCGAAACAAACTGGTCAAACCCTTCAAAACAAACTGGTCAAACCCTTCAAAACAGAAATTACATGTAAAACCGGAAAACCTGGCCTAAAAATAAACTTCAATTGTAGCGAAAACAAAGTACCGTAAAAGTCCGTAAATAAGTACCTGCCCGAAAGAAATACCCCCTTCATTCTTTTGGCTCTGTCTGTTGAAGTCAAGTCAAGCTCGATAAACATACTGCCCGAAATAAGTACCGGTACGATGCGCACATGCAGCACTTAGCATGTACATCAACATGAAAATGACTTCTCCACTACACACAAGTCAGGTCCGAAAGTTAGTTCGTGCCCGCCCGAAAGTTAGTACGGGTGTGGCCACTAAATTCAAAAGTACCGCCAGAGCACCCCACCATCTCGTCCTTTCGCGGTCGTATTGTGGAGGTGGTCTCCTGTCTGTAGGTCATACGACACAAACTTTGTACACATATTGCACGTTGTGGAGACAATCCGTATCTTCGAGCGGACACGAGCTCCACACAGAAACCTGCTTAGTGTGACCTTAGTACACTATGGTTCTCACACCGTACAAACTAAGTTACTTCGTGGAACTGTGCCATACGATTTTCCTTTCCCTGGCTGTAAAATCAAGGTGGGGCGCTCTCGCGAGACGGGGCGCTCTGGCGGTACTTTACGGTAAATACGTACTTATTTACGGACTTTTACGGTATATAGCTAGAATTGTGAAGCGATGCAGAGACGGAATCTGGAGAAAAAACTAAAAATATTTAAATAAATCCCATCGAATTTTGCGAAACACTACGCGTCTATACACGTAGTTTTGAAATGGACTGTAGGGGCGCTCTGGCGGGATTTTACGGTAATTCCAGATTTCGGAGAAACTCACATGAGTCACTTACCTTTACATAAATTTGTTGCTTTGTCAACGATCGCCTTGGTGGAGATGATCGTGCCAAACCTAGACGAGAAAAGGAAACATCACAGTGCCAAGGTAAGCTTTAGCAATTGCTAGGATATGACGTCAGGTTACAGCACACCAGTGTCCCAAACGCAAGGAGCGGTGGGATGTGTAGAGCATAGCAAATTCCCCCAGGATTTCATGAGAACAGGGCCCGTGCACATTGTATGAAATCCCATAGATCCGGTTGGGTGTAGAATGTGTAGGACCCTATTTATGCTTATCGTTATTTCCACTATGAAACGAAGCCTGCAGGCCTTTCATAGAACAGGTTTTTTTCCGGAAAAAGGGATCTAGCTAGTCATTAGTTCAATCCAAAGTGTTGAAGGTGGAAAAGCGAACGTCTTCCATTGCCTATTGGGCTAAATTGGTCAAATGCACATGCATTGCACACCATGAATACCCAAACCGGGCATGTACACACCTACGGGATTCTGAACACCTGTACAATAGGGAGGTTCTGCTATACGTGAAACGTAGAGAAATCACGTAGAGAGCAGGTGTCTGGGTTAGAGTCTACGGCTTCGCGTGTTTTGGCTCCAGATTTCTACGCGGAGATGGGGTTCTCTACGTTGTGGCACACGCAGAGAAAATGCGTACGGATTTGCTGGGTATCGATCAACTGCATGCAGAAAACTGCCAAATATGGAAGGGGAAATTCCCAGTACACATTCCACGTGACTTCTCTAGGTGAAACGTAGAGCAGAACAGCATTTCTTTACGTTACGGGAACGCGAAGAAAGTTCGCGTGATTCTTTGCGTCGCGTTCCCAAAACGTAGAGCAGAACCTCCCTAATGCAAAGCTACAACATCCTAGCTACACAGTGGACACCTTCACACGTTTAGCCATCACAATAAGAGCAGGAGCTCACTGCATACCGAAAAGAGAGCCGGAATAGCAAGGAAAATACTAGAATGCCAGTACTCAATCTCCAGACAGCTAGCTGTACCGACCTCATCAGGTCAGGATGCGTGTACATGGTCCCATGCACATGCACTTACTCGCAACACATGTTGTAGAGGTCGGTGTCCTTGGTGTTGGGTCCCAGGCCACGAATGTACAGGTTTGTTAAGCTGTAGTCATGCTGGCCATTGGTGGACGGCGGAATGAGCACCATGTTGGGCGGTGCTTGTGATGCTGAGCCGGCGGTGGCGTACTGGAGCGTTGACGGGATGGCAGTCATGGTGGCCGTGCCTGGTGCTACAAGACCGTCCAGGGACGGGCCTACAGCGCACAGTGACCCAGTCGGACTGCTTCCACTCAGCTGCGCCTGCAACATGCACATGCACACACACACACACACACACACACACACACACACACATGCACACACGCATTGTGAAACCACAGAGACGACATTCAGCACTGACTGCAATCAAATGCGGAGAACATGGAGAAGGGGGAGATCTATCTTCTATCAAACAGGGAATGCAGCAACAGCTAGACGGGGATGATAGCGTATGTGGCACACTGTACATTCAGCATTCCTTCAGCTAGTCTTTGTGGAACAATCTTAAGTCTTAAAATATTCTGAAACAAGGTTTGCAGAGCAGGGTGATATCTCTTTTTTGATGCAGTGGCTCAACACGAAGAAGGAAAAGCAGGAGAAGGAGGAGGAGGAAGAGGGAGAGGAAGAAAGAGGAACCTACCACCACGACTTTGTTTATGTGAGAGTTTTCAACCTACCATGAACTGGGGAGCACTCCAATGGAGAGAGAAAGATTTTTATAGGGCGGCTTGGTGTGAGAGGTGGACTGAGACTTGACGGCGCTAACGGCGAATATCAAGACCTTACGGCCACGGAGCTGCGGGACTCTGCGCTGGTCGTCTATCCGTGTGGAGGCAAAGCAAACGCGGGCAACATTCTGCTGAAGCGAGCGTGGAGCTGAAGCTGGATTGGTGACTGACGTACCTGCTTACTCCACAACACCGGCGCATAATGATGTGCATGTACAAGACTTCGTGAGTATTCAACTCAAATTCGTGTTCCGTCAGCGTCAGTATCAGCAAGTACAGTCATGTAGTACAATTTGTTCCCTAAATAACTTCGGGGCAGTCTGTTCATGGTTTTCATTTGTATTGGACTCGTTCTCTACACTTGCGATAATTTAGCGGCAATTTTAACGTTGTAGCGTTGTTCTCTTGTAATTTAGTGGAACCTGTATTGAGTAACTGAGTTTTATGTTTCGTTACATTGTCGTCAGATCTCCTGTGTACCGGTTTTGTGGCACAATGATTATAGCCATTATATTTGGTCGTCTCCATTCTTGTGCAATCATGCATATGTAGGTTGGTTCTCTTCCTGTTATTGTGACCAATTTCATAGATGTTGGTTGCCTTGTTGCTTTCTCTCCCCTCTCCTCTCACCCGAGCCATTCTGCATAAGCGAAGCTGTGGACGCAGCATACTGCTGCTACACTTCAACGCGGGAATGCGTATAATAATAATAATAATGCACATGGGCTGACACCGGAAGAGCTGGGTTCAATGTGGGTAGACTTTCAACGGCCAGTGTGGCGGAGGAGTTTGAAATCTCAAGTGTGTACTAGACCACGGGTGCACACTTCATTGCCTGCACATCATTGCCCACACAAATTCCCCGCCAAATGAGTCATGCCAGTACTCAACAAAACAAGAACAAAACAACTGCCGGGCACCATAGTTCCAAACTCAAACTCACCATGACGCCACTCATTGGATACATCTGCTGACCGGGTCTTCCCAGGGCGATGGGGCTGCCGGTTGCTGACACGCCTACGTATGGCCACTGAGCCATGGCCTGCGTTGCAGCCGCTGCTACCGCCGCTGTACTGCCCTGCTGGCCTCGATTCAGACCTCGCAGGGTAGCCGGAAACTTCACAGACTGCAAGCGTAAGATAATGGACAAGAGAGAGGGAGAGAGAGAGAGGGAGAGAGAGAGGGAGAGAGAGAGAGAGAGAGAGAGAGAGAGAGAGGGGGGGGGGGGGGGGAAGAAAGAGAGAGAAAAAGAGAAAGAGAGAGAGAACTATACATTTATAAAGCCTTTCTACCAATCGCACTCATGAGCTTCACGCCTTCATGTTTAAGGTGAACTAGGCTTTATACGGAAGCGTCATCAAATATGTACTACTTCAAAGAAGTAGTAGCTGATTCACATGAGCTTCTTGCAAGATGAAAGATGGACCAAATCTTGGTACGTATATGATTTCAAGCAATATACTAGTATTCGGGTAGGCCAAGGAGTGACGTGACGGGGAACGAACGACAAAGCGAACTGGCCAACGCGGCAGACCCATAGGCCCCTGAGGCAATCACTGTCCTGCCAGCCCGTCGCACACAGCCACACCGCCATACCCGTTGAACACGTACACTGATGTTGCCTGCGCCTTCAGTCAGCATCTTCCGCCGAAAAATAGCCACTTGACACACCGAGAGGCCCATTGGGCATTCACTCCGGTCAGGGCTGTGCGGCGTCCGATGCTGCTAAATTTTGATCTAGCATTTCATGTTGAGGAACTATCCCGTTTGTCTCGTAATTTCACTGTCGCTTTACGGCGCATTTGAAGTTGAGAAGAAGAAGTAGCGACGACCCGGCCATTATGGAATCCGATACACCACACCACCACATTGCGCTCTTGGCCGATCCAAACTCTGCACTCACATCACCATCACCACAGCGAGGACACTGGAGGGCCATTGTCAATATCTAGGGTTCCCTGTAAAAAGGCGCTGACACCTGTTGGGAATTCCCTAGTAAAAGAAGAATAAATAATAACAATAATAATAATAATAATGTAGAAAGGAAAAGGACATGTGGATACGCGTATTTACGAGTATATTTATGGCTCAACATCCGAGTTTCAAATAATAATAATAATAATATCAATCTATATACCGGAATTGTCCTCGCTGTGGTGATGGTGATGTGAGTGCAGAGTTTGGATCGGCCAAGAGCGCAATGTGGTGGTGTGGTGTATAGGATTCCATAATGGCCGGGTCGTCGCTACTTCTTCTTCTCAACTATAAATGAAAACTGTCCGCTATATTATTATTTAAAGAGGGTCAATTTTGTTTGGGTTCAAACAAGGACATAGACACTGACTCGCTGTGCCACGAAATTCGCTATCGTGTACTAGTATGGGGGTTTGTTATAAGTGGAGGGACTGTACAATGCACACAGGGCATATTCACATATCTAAGGCTATGCGTACTTAGTATCTAGCCAGAAGCCAGTTTAGCCCCATACGACTACTTCAAGTAGGTGTAGTCAGTTTTCGGTATTGTCCCCAAACGGCTCATAATGGCCTTTGACACACTGCTAGCACTGAATCGGGGATGCACCCTACTACCCCCCAATCACATCACTTCCGACACCACTCAAATACCCTACTCTCAGTCTCAGGTCTGAACACTGGACATCTTCAGCACCTGCAGGACAAAGCCCTGCATGCAGTGCAGGTGCATTTTGAGTGGTCTAGTCTGACGATCTGTTTGTGCCAGTGCTGTGGTACAGTCTTCCTGAAGTAACTGTTAGTTGTACTGTTAGTGTAGTGCAGTTGAGAGTTGATTGTGGTCACCATTGCTGTGAGAGTAAAAGCTAGGGAGACACTGAGTAGGTTTGCCAGAAGGCTCTTCAAGCTCAACAGTTCCTAGGCTAGAGCAGAGCAGTCCTACTACTCCTCCAACACAACTTCACAAGGTCAAGGCTGTACCAGTAACTAATTACTTGCAATACACGCCACGCTGGTACTATCGGAGTACGAGTACAACACCATGTACCAATGCAATAATATTTACGTAACGTATAACGCACATGCAGGGTCAGGGTACTATTGCATGCGCAGAATACACGTACGCACTTCCGTCATAGCAAGTACTGAAGTAGGTAGAATAGGAAAAGTAAAATAACGACATAACGATCATTGTGTCAAAACAATGCCCCGCAAACAGCACACCGCAGGCTTACAGCTTTTTGTTTGGTACAAAGTTTCGGATAACGCCACGGACTTGAGTCAGACGTTGGAATTCGATTGCTCGCAACCAGACCAACTCTAGGAACATATCCTTTCGGCAGGGACTCGCTACGACTTAGAACAGGACAGCCTCCCTCCCAATCTCTACCTCGTGAGTGAAAGTCACTTGAGCTAAACTTCGCCTTTTTGATCAAGTGCCAGTACAGTACTACCTTGCACGTTCGGGTTTCAACCTTCTGCACTTACGACAGGGAAACTGATGTGTTGCTACCTGTAGGTTCCGCTCCGCCATGTAAATATGACCAAAACTCATTAGAATAAAGGTTACAATTTCTGAAGGCATTGCGGAGTGCGCAGAAACACGACGCGAGCACCCAAACTAAATTTACTTCGCTACATCGGATATCCAGGAGAAATTGATACGATGACGCCAAGCGGCCGGGCTATCATGGTTATCTTCGTCTGAAAATGTTGGCAACTTGCTGTCACCAAACACTGTTTCAACTGAAAAAAACTCCACATTTTGAAGAACGAGAAGCTATAACCATTTTCGAGCGAAGGCAATCTACAAAATTAATGAGAAACAAAAACCCAGCTAACAACACACAACGCCCCGAATATTCGGTGCCAGACCTGATCAAGCTACGAAAAACTCTGAAGGAGAAGGTGTCAGTAGATCCGTGACGGCATACTCACACGTGGGCCAAATTATTATGCATACGATGCGCATATGCAAGGTGCAAGAACTCGTGTGTTCAGACCTTCGCCAAACGCAGACATGCCATGCCGCAATCGCATTTACACAAACCAGGACACAGGGAACCACGACTCGCGTCACCACCAAACGCGATAAACCACCGAGAGCCGAGAACAGAAAGCACGATTGATGATCAAAAACAACGTGTTTCAAACGAAAACTCGGAAAATGAGAGAAGGCAAGTAATCGGGAAAAAACATTGTCCCCTAGGCCCTTGGCCTTGAACAAGTTGAAGCACCAACAGTCGTACATGGCACCGTGTTTACCTTGCTTTGGGAGGCAGTTGATAGGAAGGGGAGCTTCTTATTAGTCGTTCCGTTTCGTGCTTTGCCAGCTCTCTGTCGAAATACAGTGCACACAAACGATGATTGAAGTCAGTTTGTTAATTATTTTGAATTGCCTCTTGTTTGTGCGACAAACGCATGTTGCAAAAAGTCTAGCACTACTTGCACGTACGTTTCCGGCTCAGACCAGTCTATCTATCCAACAAGCCACACAATCCACTGTCGCAAACCAACAGTGCAGAAAGTAGATACTCCTTGGACTTGAAGCTCTCAGCCACACGTGCGCCTAAAAATAGGCATAAAATCTAGTTTGTTTGTGATCAGTTGCACTTACCCTTTCCCGAAGCAGCTGGTCGGGTCCCAGGAGTGCCTTGTCGCCGTCCAAATCCTCGGGGTTACCACATGATGTATCGTCGTGAGGCAGTTCACCTGAGCAATCTGCTACACCACTCTCCATAGAAGCTGACTCCTTCAGGAACGAATCATCATCTTCCTCCATTCCCCGTGGGGGACGAGGAGAAGGCATTTTTCACACCGGTAATCTCAGCTTCCTCAGACTCCAACCGGGAAGAAAGCAAAACCTAACACCGAAACGACTCGAACAGCACACTACTAATTTCCTGTTCTCTTTCACTCACGGAGCTAAACGAGTACGATTTCGGAGTTTTTCTAAAGGTCTAATTAACTTCAAGGATGAGACTGAGCAGCCAGCTGCCAGTGTGTTGGCCCAAAACTCCTAAAGGATTCTCACGCAGCAGGAAAGAAATCACAGCTTTCTCCCATTTGCAGCTCAGATATCACCAAGGTCTTATTTTTTGTCTTCTGCCGTCGACCAAGCCCATATCGATCATGTATGCATACCATGCCAAGCCAGCCGTAACAGATGTGTGCAAACCAGGCAGGCCAGAAAAGGCAGAGGCAGAAGGCTGGATCCATGGACCCGTCTTCTTTGCGGTTGATGTCACTCCCGGATCCGGAAATCCTAGCGTACTGCTCCTTTCTTTACAAGCGCGCACCGAACTCCATCCTCGCGCGATCGCGCGATCGCACAAGCACTTGAAGCAGGCTCATGAACTGAATTCATGAAGCTGCACCTCGTAGGTCTACGTACCTGTGTACCTGTCCAGCCTTGTCGAAGTCGTCGCTACTTCACTCTTCACTAGCACTTCAGTACTTGCGAGTGACGCGCCTAGCGCCTACTGACTGAGTACTGTCTGTAGCCGTAGTAGTAGTAGTAGTAGTACAGGTCTGCTCTCGATATAACAACTCTCACTTGTACATAAACCTCGTTAGTACATAAAAAATCAAATCCCGCGCCGAAACAGCATCACTCCCATACAAAATGTGTTCTACACAACATAATCCTACATAACATAAACCTCGACATAACACACGCTACGGCGGTCCTCGACGTGCGCACTCTCGATACAACATAAATTCACGTGCACGGTATGATCAAGCGGTAGCTGTAGCTAGGCAGTTTAGGCCAGTTTAGTCCTACATAACGTACACCTCGGCATAACGCACCCTACGGCGCAGTCCCCGACGTGTTTGATTGATTTTTGATTGATTGATTGATTTTTATTTCACGGATCCTCCAGAGGCAAATAGATGCCTATCGAAGGGAGTCTCCTAAGTAAGTATGGAAAATGAGAAAGTATGTTCGTAAGGGAGAAGAGGTAGAAGATACATTAGAATATAGAGTACAGAAGAAGTAAATTCAGTACTTCGGGTAGTACATTCGGGTAGTACATTGCATGCTAATCATAATGAGAATTAGAAAAGCAGCATTGCGGACTACGTGTACACTCTCGATACAACGTAGATTCACGTGCGCGGTACAATCAAGCTGTAGCCGTAGCTAGCCAGTTTAGTCCTATGTGCATAATATATTCTGCGTCATTGAACCCGCCTTGTAATACCCTTCATTTTGAGGTGCATCTTGTATTTTACACACGGTTTTTCTACATAACATAACTCTTGATATAACATACTTTTTGCGTGGTCCCAGAGATTACGTTATATGGAGAGTAGACCTGTAGTAGAATTTATTATTTTGATAGGGAAGGCCCTACAGACGTTGCCGTCTTGTTACAGGGAACCCTATTAAAGTGCTCTTTACAGAGCGAAACAAAAACGGATAGATGCTTAGTGGAAGGCCCCCCCGGTCATTGTACTATATAGTAGATTGCCCCCGGGGTCACTCTACTATATAGTACAACGACCCCCCTCATACGCTGTATATTAGACAAACCAAGGAGAAAACAGTTTTAGGGGCAAGGAGAAAAGTCACAGTAATCCCCTAGATCAAAAAGTAACAATCATCAACACACTGAATGAAACTTGCGGCTAGGGGAGGATGCACGCACAATATGTTGCATATATTTTACGTTCGTCCAACAGACATCACAATATTGTAGTGGCACCCAGAGGAATTGTCGAGGTAAATCCCAAACTGGTTCTTGCCTGCACTGCGAGGTGTATGCTTCTGCCAGCTCAGACGACTTCCAAACTGGCAAAGAACAAATACAGGAACTTGAAGCCAGTCGGCAACCGCTTGGCATTCATCGTTTGTGCCCCAAACTCCAAGTTCTCGCATCTTCTTCCTTTGGAGGTAGTCGTCACCAGTTGTTCCGTCAAATTCCAGAGCTGACACGTTGACCATGGCGTGGGCCATTCCCATAATGTCCACGTGGAATCTGTGGTGTAAACTCCATCCCTTTCTACCTGCACGTGCGAAACGACAAGTCTGGTGGACTCTGTACTGTAGTAGAATGACAGGGGGCAATCTACTATATTATAGTAGAACGACCCCCGGGCATTGTACTATAATTATTATTAATAATAATTATAGTAGAGTGACCCCGGGGTCACTCTACTAATACATGTAGTACAATGCCCGGGGGTCCATCTGCTGGGGGGTCATTCTACTGGTCATTCTACACCGGCCGTGTACTAGTACTCAGTGCAGTGCTCACCACTCAGTGAATGGTGGTGAGTCATACATTACGTAGAACGTAGTACATCATAATAATAATATTATTATCAGGTACATCGCGATCCGGCATATTTGAAAAGTCAAAAACAATGTTGACATGTCAAGTCTTTGCTGTTTGTATCAAACGAGTCACAGACGAAGGTCATTCGTGGAAGTCTGCATGCAGTCAAGGGTACATAACCCCCCCATTGTGTGCTCTTGATGCAGTGCAGTAGGAATAAGAAGTGTCATGTAAGTACAGTCATGTAGTAGTTGTTTTATGTCAGAGAGTTCTCCATATGCCGCGGTGATGTCTACTCTTGAACTTGCACTTCAAGATTGATTTGCCCTGGAACTTGGCTGCTAACTACAGCCACAATTACGATGGCATCGCCTCGCCGTAGGCTGCTTTGATCGTGGTTGTTTCAGAGGTGAGTGATCATGCAATGGCTTGGCCTAGCCTTGGATGGACATAATATTATAATGCGTGTATGTTACAAGCAACAGGTGCAACGACCTTTTGATTAGCCTTCCGCCCTCTCTTCCTCCCTTTCTTTACACAGGAGAGCCCCTCGATAGGCCTCTGCGGCCTTTGGACAATCCTTAAATAAAAATCAATCAATCAATTAGTAGGACGCGACGAACACTCTCACTTCCTGTAGATCTACAAACAGAACATGGGACAGCATGAACTAGAAGTAAGGTTAGTTTGAGTGCCAAACATGACCCATTTGATATTTGACGATGTAATAAACCAGTGAGTAAATAAACTATTATTGAAAATTGTTGACTGTGTCGAAAAATTCCTCAAATTACACGCACAGTTATGCAGGCGAAAATAGGTCCATTTTGCGCAATGTGTATCCGTCATCAAGAGTACATGAACCAGAGTGTGCAGCTCCAGGCGAATCATCCCATGGTGAAGTTTTTGTTTACTGGTAGGTCATAGTGACTCACCTTCACCTCATCTCGCACCTGTTCACATGGTCATTTCAACGTATCACAAAGGTGATTCCTGTTGCGCGTTGCTGCTTGCCGTACAAAGGCTGAAACCCTTCCCCCAAACACACACATACTGGTACACACATTTCTCGTTGTCACCTTTATGGTGATTCGGTGATTTAGCACTGAACCTACGTTATGACGGGTTATCTATGATTCATGATTCATGATGACCTGAACGAAAAAAGAGTTCGCTGTGGGATCGGTTCATTGTGCGGCATAGATGCTGAGCTGCATACTCTGGTTCATGTACTCTTGCTGCATACTCTGGTTCATGTACTCTTGCTGCCATTGTATTACTATTAGTGCAACAAACTTTATTGTACACCAGGAAGTTGTATACGCTCCCTGGTACTAGTCCAGTAGGTATCGGTTATAGCGTGGGTGTTTGAAAAACGACTTTCTGTTCTGATTTCCGATAGTTCTTACACACGATAAATCAAGTGTGGCATATCACATGCATGTGCGCAGGGGCAGGAAGATCACCGTACATGCAACGCAGTACTTCTGTGCATGTGGCTGGTCATAGTCCCATAGGCTTACCACGTGGCTATGCAAAATGAGTTACATGACCACAACAGTTGAATCTGCAGCACTACGACGCAACGAGGGTCAGATCAGAACGGAATTGGACAGATGCTATCATGGTTATTACTACAGGCGATATACTTTGTACTAATCTGGCATGTTTCGCTACACAAAGTCCATTCTTAGGACCGATATATTCTACTATGGGATAAAATTGCTTGTAAGAATAAATGTGCACTTGAAATCCATGTTATGATTATGAAAACGTGAGAGTTCATTCTTGTGGGCAGTATATTCTTTTACACGACCACGCTATAACCGATACGCACTGTACATGGTGTACATTTTCATGCACAACTTTTTGTTGCACATAATTATAGTAATATGGAAAGAGAAAAGGACCTATAAGGGGCCATCCGCAAATACCGATATTTATTTAGAAACGAAAACTAGTCGTTTCTCTTCAACCCCCCTCCTCGTGGGAAACAGCTTTCCTACGGAAATCCGTAGAGAGATTTACGTATGGAAGTTGCCCTCGCTCCCCGGCGCGTACGACGTACGGATTTTCATACGTAATTACGTAGAGCGAAACCTCCCTATTGTTGATCTGCTGCGGTTTCCTGCTTCCAAATCCGCTTTGCTCGGATACTTTGGACGGTTTTGTATGTGATGCATCATGCACAGGCAGCGCCCTTTGAACCTACCGCATTGTGTGTGAAATTGCTGAACCGTAGGGAAATTCAAATCCAGGCAGCTTGATCGTCAATCCACTGTGTAATGAAGAGAGCGCATTGCTCAGAGCACCCATAGCCCGAGGGTCACCAGTTGCACACTCCTTGGGTTATGGACTCTCGCCAGTACCATAAAGTACCGCCAGAGCGCCCCATCTTGATTTTACAGCCAGGGAAAGGAAAATCGTGTGGCAGAGTGCAACGAAGTTTGTACAGTGCGAGAACCTAAGTTACCTTAGTGTGCTAAGCCTAAGGTCAAACTTAGCATGTTTTGTGTGGATCTCGTGTCCGCTCGAAGGTAAATTGAGTACGGATTGACTGCACAACTTGTAATGTGTGTACAAGGTCCGTGTCGTATGACCTTCAGACAGGACACCACCTCCACAATAGGACCACGAAAGGACGAGATGGTGGGGCGCTCTCGGTACTTTGCGGTATATGTACATTCTCATGGATTTCACGAATTTTATGGGAAATGATGCGTCTACGGAATCGCATTATCCCATGGAGGCAGATCATGAATCAGCATCGTTTGTGGCTGTGTGAATCATTGGATCCACTCTATTTGCGCAGTGATTGATTGGTTTTATTGTTATATATTGCGTCACTTCAGAGTTGTAGTTTGATGTACATGGAGTCTTTCCTTCTCCCTCTGTTTACTTTCTCAAGGTTGATACTGAGAAGGGGTTTGCAACTTTTGCTGCCTCTTTGTTTCTTGTAATGTGTTTTCTTTATCTCCTGGCCTGTCGTGATACATGTCCTCTTGTTTCTGTTCTCCTGCTGCTGGCATTGCCTCAGGACCTCTCGTGGTGAGATTGTGCAAACAGGTGCCGCTGCTGGCACAGCAAGGATGGAGTCAACAGACGACCTAACACCGTTGAAACATGACGTCGACGCTGCCGAGCAGCATGTGCAAGAAGAAGAGTCCACTGGCGCGGTGGAGGCAGAACGTGCGGCGCTATCGAGACGCAAGCTCCTGCTAGGAATTCCCATCGTGATTGGCATCGCCATCACCTGGGCCGGCGCCACACAGACGGGAAAGAGCACTTTCACGCCGACGTTCAATGGGCCCTTCTTCACCATCTGGTTCTCAACGTCGTTCATGCTCCTCTGCTTTCCCGTATACCTCGTTGCCAAGTGTACCATTGGTCGTGCTGCACCAAAGGACGTCTTCCGGTAAGGATGCTCTTAACAGTGAATGCAGTGTGCTGCTACATGTGTGTAGTTTTTTGTTCAGCATCTTGTATGTGTGTGTGCGTGTGCATGCTTGCGTGTGCCTTATAAAAAACTGTTTTCACACGTGAAGATGCACCGTGCATATTGGACTCATAAAAACTATCCGTGTGAGTTAGTGGATGGATAGGATTGACGAACAACTAGCAGGTGAACGAGACAATGGTCAAGTAGGCACTCAGGGACGAGCAAAAGACTTCTGCTCTGGTGTGTGTTTGTCTGTGTGTGTGTCTGTGTGTGTATGTATGTGATGCTGTTGTGCTATGTGTGTGTCTGTGTGTGTGTTTGGCTGTAGGTCTGGCTATAGCGTTCTGGCAAGCTACAAGCTCAGCCCGCCTACAAGGCACACTCCACTTCACAATCACGAACCCGTGTACAATCTGAGATACTTCCTAGTTCAGTCGTGTATCGTCGTGGGGCCGTTCTGCTTGCTGTGGATGGTAACAAATTACTGCTACCTGAGAGCCCTGGCAAGCATTGCACCAGCGGATGTGACGGCGCTGTTCTCCTCTGCACCTGCTTTTGTCTACATCTTCTCGCACTTCTTTCTGAAGGAGCCGTTTGTTTTGATCCGGGTAAGGTCCAGTCCCACACGACGTTCTTACCTTTCAGTGTGGTACTGTTGCAAGACAGGGCAGTGATTTTTTGGAGAAGTACAGTTAGTTGACTTGTATACCAATATGAGAGATTTCAACAGAATCTTTCTGGTATACTGTAGATATGAAGCATTGACATGATGTCATGTGTGCCAGACATGATGTCATGTGTGCCAGAAGTCACGTGTGCACTGTCCAAGCACCTGAGGGATGGTGCTGCGGTCTGTCGCTGAATCAGTGCATACACATTGTGACATTCACACAGTCCTTTCTTTCATTGCTATACATTAGGGCTGCAGCAAGTGACATCGGATAACCCTATTTTGTGTGTGTGTGTGTGTGCATGTGCGCATGTGTGTGTATCTGTGTGTGTCGGTATACGTGTGTGTGTCTGTGCGTGTGTCCATATCTGTGTGTGTATGTGTGTTCTTGTGTGTCTTTTTGCTCAAAACAGCCCATCGCTGTCCTACTCGCTATTGTCGGCATCGTGCTGTTTGCTTATTCTGATGGTTTCGAGGCGGCTTCAGTGCAAGGTGTGTTGTTGTCAGTGGCAGCAGCCATAGGTGCTGGCCTCTACAAAACGCTGTTCAAGCGCGCTGTCGGTGATGCTGATATCGGTCAGGTCTCCTTCTTCCTGTCCACCTTGGCCGCGCTCAGTACGTTTGTTCTGTGGCCTGTTGTGCTGGCGTTGGCCTGGACAGGTATTGAACATTTGCATGATCTGCCCTGGGAGTTTCTCATGCCCAACGCCATCCTCGGCCTGCTGTTCAATTTCCTGATCAACTTTGGCATTGCATTCACGTATCCGCTCTTCATCTCGTTCGGCACCGTCGTAGGTTTCCCGGTCAATGCCCTGGCTGACTATTTGTTCCGCCACGTCTCCATCACTGAGTTCAAGTTGGTATCGGCCGCCTATATTCTATCAGCTTTTTTCCTCATGCTGATGACTCCGAGGGCATCCAAGTATGTGGCACACGGCTTGGTCACTGTCTTCTGTTGCCGTTGGAAGCGGTTCACAGAAGAACATGAGCTGCCCGTGTAAATACTCGTGTACTGGTAATAATGGCCGAGCCAATCGCGTACACGTGGCTCTGTTGTCGGACTTGCCGCCTGTATTTTAACACGCACAGCCGGCTAGTGGTTCTATGGCAATGTGCTGTGACCGCCTTGTGACAACGTACACTCGTTGGGGCCTTGTGTTGCATCCACGGAAGACTACTGACTTAATGCTCGGCGTGCGTGTCAATAATTAACCTCAGGTGGACAGAGTAATGTTTGGTTGATGCGCTGCCAAGAGTAGCTAAGTACATGTGAGGATACATCCCTTGCGTACTTGTTGCGTTGGAATCGTAGCTCCGCTATTAATACTTTTACAGTAGTTTAATTTATTTGAAGATTGCGGGTTCTTTTGGCCCAAGTTTTGGGTGAATTATTGTTGAGCCTTTTCCAAAGAGTTTTTCAAAATGTTAATTATTTTTATAATTCTGGTATACTGACTAAGCCAATGGCGGACACGTACGTGGCTCTGCTGTCGGACTTACCGGCTGTATCTTAACATGCACGGCAATTTTATTATGTGAAAAAAAGCTTCTCATTCCAAGTATATATTCCAGCCCTGTCATTCAAACACATATCAGCGATTCTGTAACTTGATAATCCCAACACCAAGTCGCTGGGTTTTGTATATCAAAAGCTATACATCAAACGGTACATTCTAATAATTTTATGTCTTGTCAACACGACTGTACTCTCAATGACTCGTGGATTTGCGACCATGTCTCTCTTGAGTACATGTCTAATCTGGCTTTAAAACTGCTGCATGACTTTCTACATAGGTACACCAGTTAGTGGTGCTTGGTCCACTCTTGCACGCACCAGCGTGCAATAAGAATACAGGGATGAATTTACTGCCATGTTCTTGCATAGCAGTTTTTCCTATGCAAAATCTCGTAAGATCACTAGCCATTACAACAAGTACAGTATCAGAACATCAAAACAAACCTCGTGTAGATCCACAATTTCACATTCAACCCATCGATCTACATTCATTTTTAGGTTCCCTTTCCCGCCAGCTGGACATGCATGGATGCATGCTCTCACCAGGCCGGGGCCGGGAGTCGTCAAATGCCGGTACTTGACGACTCCCTGGCTCTCACTTGTCAGCCAGCTCACACGTCTTGTCGTGCACGCGCAGACGTCCAGCACACACGCGTGTCGAAATGTGTTTTTTGGCGGGTAGTCGGCAAAAAATTAAGTGAGGGTCCTTTCCCTATGCGAAGGACTAAAGGGACCCTGCCGACTACCCGCCAAAAAACACATTTCGACACGCGTGTGTGCTGGACGTCTGCGCGTGCACGACAAGACGTGTGAGCTGGCTGACAAGTGAGATATAGCGAGAGCCAGGGAGTCGTCAAGTACCGGCATTTGACGACTCCCGGCCCCGGCCTGGTGAGAGACTCCCTGGCTCTCACTTGTCAGCCAGCTCACGTACCCGATCACACGTCTTGTCGTGCACGCGCAGACGTCCAGCACACACGCGTGTCGAAATGTGTTTTTTGCCGCGAAAGTCGGTAAAAATTAAGTGAGGGTCCCTTTAGCCCTTCGCATAGGGAAACGTATGTGACCAATTCTGCCTTGCTAGGTCTTTAGTAGATATCAAGAGTTGAATAAGATAACTTTTTCAAACACTAACATCTCAGGCTCATCTCCTTGCCCAATATTACTAAGGCCTGTGCCCTATTTTTCGAATCCTATATATATAGGATTTGAGATTTTATTGGACCTTGTTTTATCCTTAAAACTGGTAGTTTCATGACGGCATGTGCGATATGTCGTCATGAAACCACCCCGTGCCACACCTGCAATGTTCTTCTGCACATTCACTGCTTCAGTCCTTTCCATGACAGCAGCTGAACAATTATGCTCAAATTTCAAATTATTGCTGAAAATGGGTATTCATCAGAAATATTATCGCCCTATGAATCTAAAATGTATACATTCATGCCTCAAACATATTTACAACTTCCATGAAAACCATTATGCCGTTATTATTGACCAATAACAACGGCATAAAACGCACATATTTTCAAATCCTATATATAGGATTTTGGGTCAGCAAATTAAGAGATACTTATACGTAGGAGCGAAGCTTCATTGTGTCTTTCTACAACTGCCTGCCTGAAAGCATGCTTTCGTGCAACGACCATGCAAACCATCGTGAGAATAAAGAATTCAAAACAAAATAGTTGGTGCACCAAAAGCAACCATCCATCTTCACCCACGCAGCACTGGTCTGGACTGAAGCCAGCACAGCCAGCTCACAGCCTGGGAGATTGGAGGTCAGCGGGGTGCACGACAGTCGACACAGTGATTGAAATCAGGGAGTGGGTATTTTACTACTCCCAGATTGAAACCAAGCAACACAAGAACAGCATGCATCGTCGAGTTCGATTGTTGTGCCTAAAAGTAAAAGGTGCACAAAATATATACATACTGCACTGCATGCAGTGTGGCACCTGACAACAGCTAGCTAACAACAAGCAGGGGGGTGGAACCAAAGGAATAACGAACAAGAAGCACAGCAGAAGTAGCAAGAATCGCTCGGACCAAAAGGCGCGGGTACGAGTGAAACAACAGCACAAGGACTGGAAAAAAAGCACAGCCATCACAATAAATAAAAGAATATACGGACAACTCAACCAGGCCTGCAGCTAGGTGAAAGGAACAAACAAACAAAAAGCAATCTATCAGCAAAGCGATACCTATACTATAGTTGCGGCATAATAAAGTGGTTATAAAGATACGCGCCAACGTCTGTTCCTAAAGGGCGCTTGGGGTACAGAAGATGATAGCAAATGAACTTCGAAGTAAACTTAAAAATAAAACACCGGGTTGTAAAGTGAAGTTGAACACCTCAAAACCTTCTGTGGCTAGGAAAGGTGTACACAGATACGAAAAGTATGCATGCATACGCACACACCACACACACACAACACACACACACACGCTCGCGCGCGCGCGCGCACGCACACACACACACACACACACACACACACACACACACACACACATGCAGAGAGCACATCTAGACATTCTTGTCCTTGGCACGCAGGCGGGGCTGATTGACAAAGTCTGGCCCGGTTTTGTACATGAAGAAGAGCGTGAACATGATAGCCATAATCCAGAAACCGCAGTAGATAAACTGGGCGCGAAGACTCGCTGCAAGCAAACATATTCAAACAGGGTGCAGAGTTTTAGTTTACAGCAAAAACGTCACATAATGGGCAGCGTCTAGCGAAAACCAACTTGGTAGATCTCATAAAAAGGTGATGAAAAATGTCAAAAAAGACGTTCTTGAACTTTTGCGAGTGCAGTGCAAAGTGACTTTGCACACGGTCACTTTGCACACGCGTCCAAATTCAAGAAAGTCTTGTTTCGACATTTCCCCCAACTATTTATGAAAATTGAAAAGGTCACGGTTCGTTTCACAATTGCGTGGAGTACACGTCTGACAGTGCCAGCTTGGCCTTACGTACCCAGCACAACAAGAATATAATAGTATGCCCCCACCCCCTCCCGGGAGTGTGCAAATCCAATGCTGGGCTGATACATCATAGGTCTATGTATCTACAGCAGCTTTCCCACCGACCTAGATTCATTCAGATAACTTGGTACAAGGCTTGAACGCGGGACACTTGGCTGGGGTTCGTGTTGGTTTTCTTCTTCAAAACTAACTTTTTCTTTAACAAGTATCATATAGGTGATTCAACCCAGGTTTTAGAGGAAAAGACTGCGACGCGTGAGCTTGCAAAAGTCAAGAAAAAAATAGTTTCCCAAAACACAAAACCCACTGCCTTGCACGTGCTGACTCCCAAGCCTGGGATAAGTTGAAGGCAACAACACCACCTTGGGCCAAAATGAATGGAGTACATGCACTCTTGACGATACTGCCATTCAACAGCTTGCAAGTGATCGCCACTAATTTTAGCCTGGTCTACACCAGACGGCTGGTGGAAGTGGCTTGCGCACACACCCACACACATGTGGGCACAAGCACCAGAGTTCACAGCTTCCATAATAATTATAGTCTCTCATGGTCACATTCCTGGATCACATCATGCATCATGCAGACGAGTGCAGATGCGTAGCAGGTCCCATTTCCTTGTACATATCATATCAGTACGACTTGTTGACGGTGTAATGCTTGACAATACACATACGCATGCAACCTACTACTTACTGGCAGGGATGATCATGCAGAAGATCAACATGCTGAAGACAAATAGCAGTACCAGTGGCAGCTGCAAACACGCACGCACGCACGCACACACACACACACACAACCACGCAAATACACATGCACATGCGTGCACAACAGGAAAGATTTATACATAGCAACACAAGAATGTGGTCAATTCCTGATACAACAAAGACCAATGTGCAGCAGAATCAGTTTTTTTATGGTCGGAAGTTCTTTAAAACAGAAACGCACTCACACCATGCAATGACTGTATGAGTGTACATGCCAATCATGACATGTTACTTGCATGGTGTGAGGTTTACATGCGGCCCTACAAGATATGGTCTGTTCTAAACGACATATTTCGCCATGTCGATTTTGTATGGGTTCAAACAGGCACATGGACAATGGTTCGCTATATGTGAGTTTTGTTATAAGTGGAGTCGACTGTACATTCCACACAGATGCAAAAAACAAGCAGTAGATGACAGCAAAAGAAAATTCACATATCTTAGAGAATCGAAAACTCTTCAGAAACAATATCGAGAAAGGACAAAGTTGGATTCTAAAGAGGACGGTGATCAGGTGAGTTCTTGCATCTACCATGGCTAGACATTCTATATAAATTTAAGACTCCCAGTTTTTGTTTTTGTTTTTTCATGTTTTGAACCATTGGATTTCTTTGTATTCTGTATCTCGTTATCGTTATCTTTTCCTCTAGCCCTCTCGCTTAGGATGAGCTTTTTTTATGGCAGCTTAAGCGAAGGCTATATACCTGCTTTATGCAGGTTGATGCCAACGCGAACAAGCAAAATATTAATAATAAAGAGAGACTTACCACCCGATATCTCCAGCTGTACTTCCTCTCTAGCGGTGATGGCAAACTGGCTCCTTCAGCCAGTTCTACAACATGATTGCCCAAGAACAGATCAATCGCGTCCTGCCAAACACCAAGAATACAACACAGCACTATCACATCAGTTTCGAGAAGGCATATCGACACCGAGAGTGTGCAGTGTGCACGTGAATTCAAGCCTTGCGAGCGCGCGCGTGTGTGTGTGTGTGTGTGTGTGTGTGTCTGCTGATCCCGCTGACCTTTCAGCTTTCCGCAAGGCCCGTAGTGCAGCACGTACTGCAGTTCGAACGGCAAAGTGTGTCTGGTTGCAAAGAAAGGCGGATATGGCACAGTCTGGCAAGTTCAGTGGGGAGCGCGTCTGGTCAGCCATCCGGGACATCCACCGCTGCTACAATGGCATGAAACCTGTGGCCTCTCATTCCATTCTCAAATCTGATGGTACCCTGTGTACGTCAGTGGAGGAAGAGCGTGTTTGTTGGCAGCAACATTCCACCCGTGTTCTCAATGTCATTAGTGTGTTCGATGTCTCTGTCTTCCAGCAGTTGGTCTGCCGGGAGGTTGACGACAGCCTGGCATGCCCTCCAACAGCTGTGGATATCAAGTGCGCTCTCCATCATCTGGCCAACGGCAAGTCGGGTGGTTCGTCTCTCATCGTTGCTCAGCTGTTGAAGCACGGCTTTTCTGTTCTTCGGCCACACCTGGATGAACTCTTCTCCACATGCTGGTCAGCGTCATCTGTGCCTCAGGAGTGGAAAGATGCTGTGCTCGTCCCTATTCCAAAAAAGGGTGACTTGAGCAAGTGTGACAACTGGAGGGGAATAGCCCTATTGGACGTCGTCGGGAAGCTTCTCGCACGTGTTGTTCAGGACCGGCTGCAACCTCTTGCTGAGGCACATCTCCCTGAAAGCGAGTGTGGTTTTCGGCGCGGGCGATCCTGCACAGATGCCATCTTTTGCGTGCGACAGGTAGTCAAGAAGGCATTCGAGCACCGCTGTATTACAGTAAGGCCTTTCTCATTTTCATCGATCTCCGCAAGGCGTACGACTCGGTACCACACGCTGCACTGTTGCTGGCTCTTGAGGTGTATGGTGTGCCTGGGTCACTCATCCAGCTGATTGACGGTTTTCATTCAGGCATGCCGGCTGCTGTTCGGGTTGATGGTGATGTGTCTGGGAGCATCTCGGTTGAGAATGGTTTGCGGCAAGGGTGCGTTATGGCCCCACTGTTGTTTAACCTGTACTTTGGTCTTGTGCTGGAAGCATGGCGTACAGCTATAGCAGCAGCTGGTGTTAACGGTGTGTCCCTGATATCTTCAATCCATGGAAATGGCAATCTATTTCCCAAGCGAACCCGTCAAACTGGCACGACATCGATCAACGACCTGGGGTTTGCGGATGATGCAGCACTCCTTGCACCATCCCGTGAGTCAGCTCAACTGGCTTTGGAGCGGTTCAGCAAACGTTGCTTCTTCCTTCGGCTTGACTCTGAGTACAGCGAAGACCAAGTTCATGGCCGTTGGTGCAAATATATCATGTGCTGACCGCCTTCCGCTCTTTGTTGGTCCGGAGAAGATCGAAAGTGTCAATTCCTTTGTGTATCTTGGCTCTGTGATAACTGCTGACATCCGCTCATCTGCAGATGTGGCCAGAAGACTCGGTAAGGCAGCGGCAGCTTTCGACCTTATGCGCCGTGTCTTTCTTGACCGAAACCTTTCCATCACCACCAAGCGCCATCTTTACGATGTTTGCGTTCTGTCCACATTGCTCTATGCCTGTGAGTGCTGGACTCCGCTGAAGAGAGACATGGTTGCCATCAACAACTTCCACCACTGCTCTCTCAGGTTCACTCTAGGTGTGTCCCGGCTCGATCAACAGCTGCAGCATGTCAACAACCAGGAGCTGCGAAGACGCTGGGGTGATACGGCACTGCCATCTGATACCGTCAGACACCGCCGTCTGCAGTGGCTTGGGCATGTCGCCAGAATGCCAGACAACCGACTTCCGAAGCTGATACTGTTTAGCTTCTTCTCAGATCCACGCCCAGCCTGTGTGCCACGACTGCGATGGAAAGACCTCGTCGCACGCGATCTTCGTTTCGGTGGCATAGCGGACTGGCTCACTTTGGCCCAGGACCGCCCAGCATGGCGCGAGGCAATTGCCAAGACTCCGGATGATCTCGTGGAGTGCAATAACAACAAATTCACCTGCAAGGTTTGCAACCGATCATTCACTGCTCGTGGGATTCACCGTCACAAGTGCTCAGCTGTACGGTCCTTACCTGTTGCCCAGCAGCCTGGGGCCCGTCGCTGTGGAGTTTGTGACCGCTGGTTTCAAAGCGCTGGCGGTTTTGCAGTTCATCGTGGTGTGGAGCGTCAGACATCGGACGAAATACCACCGTGCATCTTGCAATAAAATTCAAAAACTGCGCTGAGGACTTCAGTCACTTTTGCATCAACAGTCGCACAAAAAATTATTGGTGGCGCAAGGAGAAGCTTGTCGTTTGGAGTGACAAGTGATCACCGCTGCTTTTCCTTGTCAGAGTCAACAATACACTTTGTTCTGCGGCCTTGGGAGTAGAAATTGCTGAGGGGCGAGCTTTCCTGCGCAGGTATGACTTTGGCCGTATTTCAGCATGGTCGAGTGGAAAAATTCAAAAAAGTTTATTTCAAGAAAACCCCAAAAAGGAAGATGGGGGACATGTCCTCAGCGCTAGAAGAGGTGTTCTACTATCTGCCGGTGTATAGTTCTGGCCAATTGACGTAGCTGGCTGTTTTGCCAGCGCTTGTAAATTGGCTATTTTCAAGACGATCATTTGTGGCGTCAGGGGGTGATGGACCTCGTCTTCTGGGATCCTGGCGTGGCTAAGCGGTACTGCTCCAGGAACTCTTCTAAGGTGAGGCAATGTTGGCTTGATGGAGTTTTGTTCATAGCTTGTTCGGATACGCTGTGGCGTGACTCGTTTCTAGACCCATAAATGATGTGATATTTCGGCCATTTTTGAGGGGTATGCAAATTTCAAGGTTCCCTTCAGAAACTTTTTCAAGGGCTTTGCACAATCGATCCACACCCCAAAGGGAACCTACCTGCAAATTTTGAGCGAAATCGGAGAGATCCACTTGCACACATACTTTGGTATTCTCAGACATGCTCTCTTAAAAGTCACAAGGCAAGGCCCTACCTGTCGGAAGCCATCTGCAAAGTTGTTTTTGTAGTAGCGAACCATGCTGTTCCAGCCATCCCTCATCAACCCGAATATAGTGCGCTTACCCGTTCTGCGGGAAATCCACACATACACACACACACACACACACACACACACACACACACACACACACACACACACACACACACACACAACTCTCATGCAGGTTCACATGCATCCCTAGTCATGAGCAGCAGAAACCTGCCAAGAAGGGAACAACTTTACTGTGCCGAGGAGCATCTACAGCTGATACTGTCCTCCCTGCAGTCAGGGGAAGCCTGACGTGTAAGGATTACTGGGACTGCGCCAAGTTTGTCCAGTCACAACAGGTTTTTACTGTAGGCGGCACACGTGTGTAATATCCACTACATGTAGCAGTTGAAGTGTTTCGAATTTGCAGTCCGAATGAATATCCCACAATATTATAGTCACACGAAATATCAGCTTAAATTTACCGCCTCGAAGTTACAGTCAGGCCAAAATATTATAGTACAGTTGCGCGCACTGAAATCCGACCCAAAGTGCAAAACCGGCGCCCTGGACCAGTTCAGATTACATCACTGTACTTGTACATGAGTACGTCCAGCCGCATTTGTACCACTTCCAGGGCGTCAAGGGCCATGCAAGTTGAGGGCGACAAGTATGCGCTTCAGGTCGGATTTCACCGAGCCCAACTGTCCATGTATAGGAATTGCTGGACCACATACCTGGTGAAGTCGGTCTTGAGTGCCCCGGTGCCAGAGTACTGTACTGAGCAGGCATCAGCATTATCAGCCCACACTGAACACAGGTAACACACATGCACACACACACACATATACACACACACACACATGCACACACACCCACATGCACACGAACAATCAATTTAGTCTGGAGACATTAAACGGAGTATGGGAAGCACATTGAACAGGATCAGACTTACCATCACCGAACGTACATTCGTTACTTGTTCCAGCATGACCAGCTCGGGTCTAGGAGCAAGTGCAAGAAGAGCTAAGACCTGTATTCGCCTATCAATAAATAGGACGAATACTAGTAGAGTGATTGAAAGACTGGTATTAATAGCTGCAGAAACGTGATGCACTGGGAAAGCAACGGGCATCGCTCGCATCATTGAGGCGATGCATTACAAAAACAAAAAAAGCTAGGTACACACAGAGACGCATTGTAACACATATAGCTTACCATTCTTGAAAAGCTTTTCAAAGTTAGCATGCAGCTCGGTGGCCTCGCCGGTGCGTAGAATGCCCATATCCTGGACATGCAAGGTAAGGATGACAACACCACAAACACCATGTCATTAGGCACGGTGGACACATACACACATGCATGAGCGCGCATACATGCATCCTTGTTGACTGTTTTAAACTGGTCATATGGGTTGGTCTTGTTTTGCTACAAAGTTGAAGTAAATTGAGTTTGTCGGTTCCGCCTGATCTACCCGCCGTTGGTCCGTTGCGGGACCTTTTGTACTCCGCAACAGCCAATAAGAACTGGTCAATCAGAGGCAGCTTTGGCTAGGCCCCGCACTTGCTGCTGCTGCCATACTGGGTGGGTTTGGCTCTCCACAGTTCATGCAGAGCCCTTCCACAGCCTCATCATGGACTGCGCAGTGTTCCCCAGAAAGCTGAAACATGCCTTGAACATAATTTGAATGGAGACCAGTATAGTAACTGATGTAATAAATTACTAATAAACGTCCCTGATCAGCTCATAGTACGTCAGGGATGGCTTATCTTTCGCTGACATTGTGGATGACATATCTGACAAGCTCGACCACCCAAGTGGGTCCCGAGCACTCACTATTTGATGATGTCAATGGTATGGTGACGTCAAAGTGCATAAGGACTAAATATCGCACCTGTGCAACAATTGGTGCAGTGCTGCAAATGCTCTTACCTGAAGTTGCTCATTCAGTGTTATTCTCGCCAGCATGCTTTGAACAACATTCGTTCTGTGATGACAAACGAAGAACACAACTTACAGACAGCGGGGAATCTGGTGGACGAGTTGCACACAGAAAGTAAACGGGAGTCAGAGAGCAAAAGCGCAAGAACACATGACAGCACATATGCATGGGCAGAATATAGGGGTGAAACGATTAGTTCGAATATTCGAGTAATCGTTCGCAAATTTCAAACGAGCGAGTATTCGAAATTTTGCACTCGATCGTTAGTATTGGCTTTCTATTTTCAAAAACTTTTGTTGTATCGCTCGTCCACTGGTATGAATGCATTATGCATGCCTTTGAGTCAGTATTTTATGACTTTGACCATGCGATCACCACGGCAAGTAACGTTAGTTAGCTATGCGATATGAAAGTACTGATGAAAATCATTAGTCTTTACACTCTGTACAAGACGTTGGCGACTTTTGTTCTATGTTTACACATAATTTCTTCCGAATTGGTCGAGAACTCACAAATCTGGCGCTTTTGAACATTGACGAAATACTCGAAATAATCGGATACTCGATCGAATATTGTGAATGAGTGATCGATTGGTCAAAATAGATACTCGTTTCACCCCTAGCAGAATACGATTCATACAATGGAATCTAGAACTGACCTGTCCAAACAGTCAATACAGTTAGTACGAAACACACCCTCCTGACGCCGCGTCACCATGTCCTCTGCATCAATAGCAAAATAACTGAACACCGCGCAAACATGCCCAACACAAAACAAACACACATGCATGTACAGACACAGACATAGACACACGCACAGATTCACACATATCCACCAAAGCAGCAGGAGATTAGGCGTTTTCACTGAGTTCTTCACTCGATCAGTGCTCCCGAATTTCTTTTGAAAACACCAAGGCGGAATTCATAGCAGACCAAAATTCACATCAACACCAACAAAAGCACAAGCGGCCGGCTTGATTGATTGAATTTACTTTGCACATTCAAACAGGATTTTGCCTCATTACGTGATACAGTGAGAGCAAAAACAGTGGTGTAAGTAATAACCCGTATCTCCTTCATGTTACTCATGGGGAGGTAATCTTCAATTGTCTCATTGCCGGACTTGAGCGGTGTGTGTGTGTGTGTGTGTGCGTGTGTGTGTGTGTGTGCATGCGTTGATGAGAAGCAGAAGAGCCAACACATAGCACAACACTCACCCAAATTGCTTGTGCTCCGGTCTTAGGCGAGTGATGAGTTTATCCAGATTCTGCCACTGCATGTTGCGGCATTCGTGGTGGAAGTCAAACGCATCGTACCTGCAACACACATACACACAGAGTGCCACCCATCACCATCACAACATACCAGCAGGCAATGAAAATAAGCTTTCTTGCACCGGAAGAGCATGTATATGGCACAACACTGGCGCTGATGTGACTGCATAATACTGAAGATGGCTTTTTCCGCAATATGCACCGATTATCAGAGAACGCCAGGCAAATGCAATGATCACAAACATACTTGACTCTCGGATTGCTCATCAGGGAGACATGAGCATCAAACGCGTCTGCGAGCGGCTTCTCTCTACCTCGCTGATTGATCTGCACAGATGGAACAGAAAAAAGGGGTAACACACTAATGTTGTTGTGTTGCATGTCTCAGTCAAATGACAGGTTAGGATATTAGAACTTAGTAGCATCATGAGCTGCATGCGTACAACTGCACAGCAGCTACTATCTATACTTCTACAGCCCCAACTCCTCAACGAAAGGTGCGATAGCGGCTAATGGCACAAGGGAAAGATTGAGGATGACGAGCAATTCTCGGTGGAAGCATTCCCATGCACACGACCCGTGCTCCATCATGGTCACGGCCTCGCATGTTACATGTGTACATGTTGCAGGAATACATCTATCTCCTCTCATCTCAATGACAAGAGAAAAGCTGCGTGTTTACACAGCAAAGACGGCCATTCTAGCCCTAGAACAGCCAACGGTGTCATTTGACACCGCGCGAGTCAAACTTTTGGAATTACCGAAATATGGCTAATCAGATTAAGCTCAAATCTTGTGACTATTCCTAATTTTGCCTCCTCTTTCGCCTGCCATAAACCTTTGATTTGTAATTGATGAGGTACCATAATGGCGAGTACGTATACCTAGAACGGCCAACCAGTGTCATTTGACACCTGCACTATAAAAAGCCATTATTGCAGCTAGATGGAAACAATATGAACACATTTCGAAGATGTCTACCATATCGAGTTGCTCGTATGCCCACCAGACAAAAGAAAGGTGCATGGGCAGGAAAATCGCTGAATACAGGACAAACTATATATTCAACATACAACCGTCGGGCGAGAATCGCAAATTTGGGGCGGAAAACCATTAGTGCACAGATTACACAAACACTCTTCAGCTAATGTCCTAGACGCTGCTCAATCCCTTTCATGTTCCTTTAATATGCCCAAAGGAGCCATCGCGGTCTGACGGCCAAGGAAATACTAGAATAGATGTAGCGTATTACCATGCATGAATCTGATTACCAAGAAAGCGAAATTGGCCACTTTATCTTCATTTTATGGCTGTTCAAGTGTAGTGACCATTGGCAGTGGTGGATCTGGTCTGTCATATGAGGGCGAATCGCACGGTCACAACACCTGAGTACCTGTGGATTCAGAATGTATTGAGGTTTACGAGCCTCCAGAGAGCGGACGAGGATTGCGGGATAGTCCAGACAAGGAATTGTCAGAAACAGTTGCAGGAGTGGTGGAGACCCCGAAATGGATAGTGTTGAGGAAGAGGAATCGCAACTCTGTAACCTGGAGATGGCACACCGCATTATCGCAAGGATGGTGCTGTGTAGATAATCCTTTCTAACTACTTGACGAGCTAATAAGGCTCTTGAACCACACCTCTTCCTCCCCCGCTTCAGGCTAAACGGGTAGGCAGCCGCTGGGATGCCTTCTCTCTCTCTTTAGTGGCCCCGGATGCTGCAGAAGGTGATTGCTAAGTAATAACTGATAACTTCATCATCAATGCATTACTGGTCAAGAAACTGTTGGAGAAAAAAGAGTTGCAGTATGAACCACTTTGGTAAATTGAAGTGAACTACCATCTAACTTCATTGCCAATAATCGCGGATTGCATTTTGTTTTTCAAGATTACATTGTAGGATGCAAAGACGGTAGATGTAGAAGGTAGAAGTAGCAAGAATTATCAATGGTCTGCCTAGTGTAGACCACCTAGAGCCATATGTTTTACATGGCGAGAGTAGGAAGCCCCACATCATCCAATTTTAGCAAAAGACGAGATATGTCCTTGACCATTTCGATCGAATGTGGTGGATCTACTCAACAACGACTATTCCAGAAGATGTCCCCCTGCAAGGCGGTTACATAAATGAATAGATGTGACAGGCATCAACGCCTTCACAATATCCCAGACCTTTGCTAGTTCATGCACATCCAGAAAACGCTCATTCCTGCACTGGTCAATAAGCTGGCAGATAGTCATGGCATCTGGTTGCTAAGTGCCAGCCAAGGAGAAGAGAAGGGTATACCTCTTTGAAAGAGTCTAAAATACAGTCGTTACTAGCCTAATCTTGAAACCATGTCTAGTAGCATAATGTGTCAGCTTGGTGAAACAATGATGCTCATAGTCAGTCCATGTTTGTACTTGTTACTGTGTGTTATTCATCGTGACGGTCGAGTAATCCGATTATGCCAAAGCACATATTCGCGGAAAGCAGTTCCCCATGTGCCCAGTGACGTTGACACATTGCTTGTTATAGTAACTCTGTGATTATAAGACTTTCCTATGCAAGTAATTGAAGTTTTGCCAGTAATTGAGTTCATCCTTCGCAATTGCCGTTACGCGTACATCGTATTTTAGTTGCGTATAGCCAACAATAGTGTCTGGGTGAATCCTAAAGTGTTGTGTACATCATAAATGCCGGTAGTGATAGCCAGCACTGAAAACAACAACTATAATAACCTATATCATAGGTCTTAGACATGGAAATGTATGCAGGTGTCAAATGACACCGTTTGGCCGTTCTAGGAGTACTGAAAGTGGTGGCCGTCCTAGGGCTAGTTCCAGCGAGGGCACAATAAAAGTGGCAAATATGGTCATGGCGGGTGCAAAGGGATTACAACAAAGAGTACCATTAGTAGTGCCCAACACAACACATTAGAATACACATGGTTGTAGTTGGTGGAGTAGAGTCAAAGACAGAAGACACTTACCAGATTAACAAGGACTTGGTAGCCATACTGAACCTCCTGTGTTTCACAATGCCGCCGAAACGCCTCTTTCTAGAGTTGCACATCCAGTAGCAGAAGAGAAAATCACAATTAACTTTCGCTAGTTGAAATCCGACCCTAGGTGCAAACCTGGCACCCTGGACCAGTTCCCCGCTGCATTACTGTATTTTGCACGTGTACTTCCAGAGCGCCAAGGGCTGTGTACGTCTGGGATGCCTCGGGTCGATTATCCCTAGCGCAACTATAGTAGACCTCTTCCGGATACACAGGACAAATAGGACACAGTCATTATCTCCAACCCGCTATAAAAGCAGCACCACTACCATATTAATTTCAGGGCTCACAGCAACCATGCCAAAACCTCGATTACGTGGGAGGACATCTTGGATCTGATCACCATAGAAACGAACTCGCTTGACCGCTAAGCGCAGGCGTAGAACGCAGTCGCGCAAGGAGATTTTGACTTGCTTGGGCTTAGTTGCTGTGACAAGGACTGAGTCGTGAATGGTGAAGGAGATGGCCGGAGACTGTCTCACTATCTCTATTTCATTTCGGTACTTCTTGTTTCCTTCCAAGTGGATTATTTCGCGAGCAGTGTTGGCCTTGTCGGCCGAAGGCTTCATTCAGACTGTCCGCACACGGAGTCCTGCGAAAAGTAGCCCCGAGCAGAATCCTGCAGTCGTTGACGAAAGAGTTCAACATCTACAGCCGGGCAGCTACGCCGCTGATGCACAGGCGCGGGTGACGGGAGAGGGAAAGGACTAGCATTCCTTGACGGCATGGAGCAATGACTCACGTCGTGTTCTAGTTTTAGTTTCTCCGCCGTGAAGTCCTGTTGTGTAAGCGTAAATATACGGCTGGTCTGCGAAGAGCCGTGTAGCGCAGTGGTGACGATGTGGAGTTGTGAATTATTTGATTCGCCACTCCGTTTCGTTGCAAGAGAACAAGTCCAATGGCTTCGCCGTTGTGCTGGCCATGTATTTCTTCGGTCTGCCATAGCCTTGATAACTCCTGGAGGACACAGCGATGAAGCGCCAGGCGAGTAGCAAAAACATTTCAAAAAATTGCTTTGCTGCTAGTGTTGTTTCCGCATTCACAACAAGTGCAGCGCGCGCGGTTCTTCCTCGCGGCTGCACTGCAGATAGGGTTGCCTTTGAAATGTTCGTTTGTACCCGTCTCTGGCCCGATTTTGATGGCCAATAGCTTACAATTTTCAGTAGGAAAATTAGAAGAACTTCTCCGAGCGACTTTTCAATTTTAGTACAATAATCCAAATCAGAATTACGCCTGCACCAACTGATACTTTGGCTCCATATATATGCCAAACCGTATCGATTAAAACAAAAAACTCTCGGCCAAATCCTTACAATGGGTATTGAGAGTATGTTCCTAGAGTTTCAGAGGCCTAGGGAAAAGCATTGGTACAAATGAACATTTTGAATGCACCCCACTTTCAAGTTTTCAGAGATATCTGCCTGATCGCATGTACACGATTCTGGCATGCTGGCTGGCTCGTGTGACAGCGGCCTGTCCAAAATGGCGCCCACGCTTTTGTGTGATGCTGTGAGCCCTGAATTTACCCAATTACGAAATGTTACGCCTAACTGAGCCTAGAACTAGAAGTCACCCCATGTACTACCATCCCTTGTCAAGCAACACCTCTGCAGAGGCACCGTAACAACTACTGACAGACCAAAGCAATAACTGGACAATCTTGTGCAGCTGGTGGGCCAAGGACAACAGACGGTGCTATCTCCATGAAAAAGCACACTTTATGCATGCATGTTTTATATGCACTGAAAAAAGCACATCTCCCAGCAAAGGTACACATTCAATAAAAGAACAGGTTGGAGGGACACTGAAAAATACTAGACGCGTGCGTATGATAGAGAAACTACGACTCACCTGCAACTCGGTGTTGACAAGCTTGGGCGGTGGTGCGTACTGCAAGGACGGTCGCTGTGACCAGAACAGTGGAATGGAGCCGCGGATCTACGCAAACAACACACAGAACACCCAGCCAAGAAGAAAGAGCACAGGGGGGTATCTATAAAATGCTGTGAAAGTGCCACACTGCCACACCCCTCTGCATTGCTAGCTGATTCCCAACGACATACTAGTACATATACACACATGTACACCCACCCATACAATGTACAGTGCCGGTCAGAGAAATCCAACCTCATGAATAAAGTAGCGCCACGTTCGAGTGCACAGACCAGTATGTGTAGTGCTAGGGTTGCGTAGTGCCCGGCGCTATTATATTCACGAGGTTGGATTTCTTTGGCCAGCAGTGTACTTACCTGGACAAAGGAGGCAATGGCCTTGCCGTGAGTGACCAGCTGTTCGGTTTCGACGAAGTTTGCCGCATGCCCGTCGCGATCCACGCCACGAACAAAGAACCTTGTGCCTGGTAGCAATGTGCAGAAACAGAGTGGAGAGAACATGGAACATAACATTGGATAGGCACGGCACAATACTGCCAAAAAAAATAAGAACAGCCCACTACACTGTTCACAGCACGATGCCTCCGTCAATATTGCGTTTTCACAGCATCATGAACCACCTGTCTGCTCACGGCTATTCTTGACAAATTACGAAGGTCAGCAGTCGAAAAGCAACACACACACACACACACACACACACACACACACACACACACACGACCAAGGCACTGTCCCAGGCATAGTTACAGCAAAAGCGACAACAGCATGCGCAACTCACCAGCACGGTAGGTGCTTCGTCTGGATATCAGCGCAAACGTGAATGCCTTCTGATTGATAGTGCACTCACTGATAGTAATGACTGCAAGAGTTTGAGAGATTCTCAGTCAAGGAAGCTACCACTCTACTTCAGCACTGACAGAGAACAATGACAGCTGTACTGCAAATTGAGCTGAGCACTGAACCTTGCAAGAAACTCAAAGGTATAACGGAGGCTAGACTTGAAGTTTCCCCTAAGCCTGCAAGTGTGCCAGTCAGGGAGAGACTGGGACTCAAAGCAAATGGACTGACAGTCACAGAAACTGATTATGCTCAAGGACTTCACAGAAATCAACCCTATTTTACATGGAAGGAAGATCAGAGATCAATACTGACTGTGCAACTCAGAACTCAGGTGTAAGCCTGTGAAAGTCCTCGAAACCAGACCACACTAAATGCTAGTGGCATACATATCTGCAGATCTGCTGCAAGCGGTGCCACATTTGTGGCGTGTGCAATATGCTGGGTATTTTCCATTGTTATCCCTTCAGAAGGCAACAGTTACATAATCAAGGAGTGGGATACATCCATGGAGAATTGGTATTGCGAATCTATGCATCTGCATGAAGCAAACAAACACGTAAAAAGACAGAACAGAGGTTAGGTGACTATGTCAACATATGAGATGCTTTGTGTGGAGTGGTAAAACTGTGGCACCACAAGGACCGGTTTACCACTCAATACAAACTAGCACTAATTCGCCACTCATTACAGAGCACATGCGACGGTGTCAATTGCATAACCTCCATAAAAGCACGTATGTGCACAAACACAGACAGTAAGAGGAAAGCAGCACAGGCCATGAGTACAGAGGTAAACACCAACACTGAACAGCAAAGGTCACATCAACACAATAACAAGCTTTTTAAGAGCAATAACTGCCGGCTAAAGCTTTCACCAAGACCAAGACATCATGCAGTCATTACAATACAAGTATCAGTCACCAAGACTCACATCAGGCTCTACAGAGAGATCGCGTAGTAGATGGGTGTTCCAGACAAATCGCTGGTCAGCCTGCAGCCACATACACACATATACCACACATACACCACCGCACAACAGAACGGTAGGTAAAGTACACAACAGCATGTCCAAGCACTTCACAGCAGTACAGACCGGGGGCGGACAAGAAAATTAATAAGCACCAGCAGCAAGGAAAACAATGGACTGTATCCTGAAGATGGGCCTAGCCCGAAATTTGGATCTTATTTAATTAATTATTTTTGGAAGAATTTGTAGCCGAGAGACCGTTTTGGGTAGTGGTGTATAACTGTGTGAAACATGAAGTAGTTGCAGTGGAGTCTGCACACCCTTAGGAATGTATCCTGGAGGTAATATTTTATGACTTGGTGCTCCCCGCGTGCTAGAGTGTACGTGAAGTGTGTGGGTACAGTGAGGGCTGTGCCCCACCCGCCTGTGTGGATTCACAGGAAGTGTGAGTTACGAAGTCTGAAGAAAATGTTGAACAGTCTCTGCTAGGATGACGACTACACCATAGCTCAGTGGTTAGAGCATCGCAAGCTACAAGCGAAGGTCCCTGGTTCGAGTCCTGGTGGTGACAGTCAATTTTTTCTTCAGACTTTTCCCGTTTGTGTCTTTCCCTCAAACTAGTGAGGAGGTAATATTATTAGTTATATTTCTTCAAGACTATATACTGGCACAAAATTTGAAAGCTGCTGCAACACTTACGCGTTCGTGCAAAGGCATTTGAGCAAATTCTGGACTGGTGTTGTAGAGCTGTTGGGACCGATGTGTTACGTCGTACGTTGTGCTGTAGTAGAAGCCATCGGTGGCCAGTACCGTGTGCACCATTGCCAGATATTCTCGATTGTGTCGCTCCTGCAAGAAACACCCACACCCAACAATTGAAGTAATGCTAACAGCGTATGGAAACAAAGCAAGCAACACCCCCCCCCCCCCCCCCCCCCCACAGAGAGAGAGAGAGAGAGAGAGAGAGAGAGAGAGAGAGAGAGAGAGAGAGAGAGAGAGAGAGAGAGAGAGAGAGAGAGAGAGAGAGAGAGAGAGAGAGCCAGCATACCATCGCCAGTGCCTACAATAACCACTACAGCACATTCGTAGTACCTGAAGATCTGTGAGATGGCGTGTTCCCCTGGCGAATGAGACAACATCTGTGCTCGTGATCTTCCAGACATCATGACCACAGATAGTGCCTACCCGCCGTCTACCTGTGATGATGACCATATACGGACCTGAGGTAAAGAAACACACAGAAAGAAGAGATGCAACGATGAGCTGAAATCCATGATCAACCAGAACACACACAACAATGGTAAAGGGACCTGGATTGAGGTGCTCTCCTGCTTGCAATGCAAAACAAGAAGATGCCCCATGTTGGAACACAAAGCTATAATCAATGAAGCAAAATCTGAACCCGATTCGACAGAAGGATTAAGAAAAGAATTAGGGCTAGGTACGACCCCATGTGCAATGTTCACGCCAATAGCCCAAGTGTAGAATAGCGAGAGAGGATGTTGTGCAGGCAGGCAAAGCTCCACTCCTAGAAATCTTCCACGTGTACATGTGAACACAGGCAGTCAAAGCCCGGAGTAGAAGTAGAACACTACAATGTAGAGTACACACATTACCTGCGAGCAGGCGAATGATTCCAAAGAGGCCATACGTATCCTGTACATCCTCGGTGGGTGGCAGCGGCTCTGCTCCATCTGTGGACAAAGAGAGATTCGGACAAAACAAGAAAAAAACTGAGCTTGAATCACTGTAAGGATGGGATGACACACGTCTACCGGCACGTGCCTATATGCAACCAAGTGCACATGCACACACACACACACACATACACACACACATATTGTGTGTGTGTGTGTGTGTATGTGTGTGTATGTGTATGTGTATGTGTATGTGTGTGTGTGTATGTGTGTGTGTGTGTGTGTGTGTGTGTGTGTGTGTGTGTGTGTGTGTGTGTGTGTGTGTGTGCGTGCGTGTGTGGTGTGAGCGTACACGTGTAATCAATACCCCCACCCAAGGTAGACAACCATGCCATCTATTTACTTGTGACTGCATCAACGTCCCATTGAGGACCCCATACGGAAATGTTTGGGCGGCCGTGTGCATGTACTGGCTCGAATCTGAACAAGTGACCATCAAAACACTGCAATGACATGAGGCATGCAAAACAAGTCGATGAGAAAATAACTTCTTTTACAGTACAATACACGTACATCTGAGATCATGATTTATACGAGCTACAAGCGTCACCTTGTACTCAACGATTGCCCATGTGTGCACACCATTGATCAAATAGAATGAGTCGGACCAAAATACAATTCTGGGATACGAAATTTGAAAATTTGAAATGAAAATACAATTTCTTTAATTTCTTTAGTCCACAACAAAAACACAATTTACAATAGTGATATTGTGGAATGTGCGATCAGCTTATAATTTATTCCGTGCCCCTATAGGACACAGTAGATGTGGACAGACATACGAACAGACGTACGAATGGCATAACATAGAGAACTCAGTGTAACTAACTTACTTATCAATTGTATATCATGGCTCACGCGATCAATTCTCAGAATATCCGAGCGATCATTCGGGACGAGGTAGAAGAAGTCATTGCTTGTATAGCTGCAACAACAGGCAATTCGGGGTAAGAGGCGAACTACGGCAACATTTCCCAAATCAAACTCTTACAGCTTCAATGATGGGTGGACCTTGTCCAACGCCATTTTTCCTTTACGGGAGTGATCCTGCGCATGCGCTAGAAAACGACAATTAATTTTTTCATTTCCGTTTTGTTTTCTTGGTTGAGGTTGCCTTTTCTGTCGTGCCATGCCAGGCCCATGGTGAACGTCCCGCTGTTCCTGTCTTAGCCGTGCTCGAACCACCATGATCCTGGGTGTATCATGGAGCCCGTTTCCCGTTCTTACCGATATCCCCTAAAAGTAGTAGGCCATAGTATGTTTGTGTGCAGTCCTCAGTATTCGTGATAAGTAGTACTCAAGGAGCACGTTTTGGGTCACAGTCTGATTCAAGTATTCAACTGTCTTTGCAAGTACAAGTCATGTAGTCAAGTTTCCCCTTTGCGAGTTTTCTAACTCTCTGAGTCTCAGTTCTCTTCTTTCACGTCTGAAAAGTCCTTATCCCAGGTACATGTACATGGACAACAGTCGACCTGGTCTAATTTTGGTTGGTGAGAAACTTCCAGTGGAAGTAATACGGTTCCTGAAATATACCGGCATTACCGGAAGTTTGGCCGTCATCAAACTAACGTGTTGCTTCTTTAGCCATTTGTGCTTTTCCAGAAAGAAATCGATTGATGGTGCTTGTTGTCGACATGCAGGCATAACACAATCCTACAATACATGTACATTTTTTTCATTTCCACCTGGCAAATTCCCTGTGTACATTTAGAAAAGCGATCCTGTCAGCTTTTCTATTATTGTGTGTACTGTGTACATTGCAGATCATGTAAAATACTAAATTACCGGTACTGTATCAAGAGTGCCTAAACAGTTTATGGACTCTTGCCGGTATGTAAATGGGAATTTCAATTTGCATGTTTGACAGGTTATTTTGTACATCAGCCCAGTATAAATGTAACCAAGAGGGTTATGTACTCTTGCTGTAAACCGCTGTAAGCCTGTTGCTGTTGTTGAGATTCATTTTGTATCGCAGACCAAACGGGCTATGATGCCCAATATTATGATGCGCCGATAAAGTAACGGCCAAAAGCCAAGCCATTGAATACAACAAACCTGTACGAAAGAGAGAAAAACACAGATTGCAAATACGCAAAAAGAAGAAAGGAAAAGAAAGAAAGGAAAGGGGGAAAAAGGAAAAAAGAACAGAAGACAAACAAGTTGAAACTGTCCCTTTGGAATAACGCGGCCAAGGAAAATTCCGCGGGGAAAAGGGCTTTCTTCGACGGCATCTTCTGCAGTAAAATCAAAAAATCTGCGGCACTTAATAAGCCATGCTGTGACCTGTCATGGTGCCAGAGTCGTTGTAATGTTGCAAAGTGCAACACTTTGAAGAGTGCAAGGGTACAGTATACCACCATCAGCGGCAGTATTCCAGCATAATTAATGTAGCATAATCACTGGCATAATTTGGGCATAATATGGAAAGCATAATTCAGCAATTGACCGAGCATAATCCGCCAACGGCTACATCAAAGTGTCCACACACACACACACACACACCGTTTTGACAATCATCACCTTTGCTGGGTACCCATACCATGGTACAGGCCACAGTTCCTCAAAAGACGAATGTAATGACTTTCATGTACAAGTGTGTACAGTCATGTTGTTCGTTGGTAGCATGAAACAAGGTGGAGAACACCGTGTTCGGAAACAGTGACCTTTCTACAACCATCCACGGTTGGCAGAGCCCCGGTCGGTTGCGACCGTCTGAACCGTATGGATGTTAGACCCCGTTCTGAGTCTTCTGACCCTCTCTATTCTAGGGGAGTTGTCTTAGACAACAACAACAACACCAAAGTGTAGATGGGGTGTTCCGACGTGGTGAATGCCTACCCATGGCCGCGTCGGAACATCACCAACCTCGTCTACAGAGAGCACTTTCTCACGACAGTCACGGTCATGGTGGTGACAAGGACTGTTGTCAGGTGACGAGCTGAGAGAGGGACGCCATCACCGGCGCAGAAGTTGGAAAAAGAAAAGAAAAAAAGAGTTTAAAAAGAAGAAAGAAGAACAATTCAGAACAAAACTCGCTACTAAGTTTATGAGTATCAAGAAGACATCCAGGAGCGAACAAAGACTACAATGTCTAGACTGACAGTACGAGAAGTCTAAGACAACTCCTCAGGAATAGAGAGGGTCAGAACCGGGTTGAACACTCATAGGGTTCAGATGGTCGCAATCGACCGGGGCTCTACCAATCGTGGATGGTTGTAGAAAGGTCACTGTTTGCGAACACGGCGTCCTCCACCTTGTTACATGCTGTCAACCAACAACATGTTTCAACAAAACAAGGTTTATCTAATACTGTACCAAGTGTGTGGATGCATGTGTGGCATTTGCCTTGGCAGGCATCTGGCTCATCAATCTGTGCATGTGTCTAGACCACTCAGCTCAGAGGGTGCATTATAATTTTATGCATAATGATTATTGGTTAACCTTACCCTCTCAGAGCCGTGACACCGCGGCTAATCGCTTGCAATTTGCATACTGTCACCATGGCGCTCAAGCCTTCAGCTTCAGAAGGACAGGTCGGTGGTACTGCATTACAACTGAGCAGGTCACATCCACTGCTCCGACAACGCAAGCCGGCTGCTCTTGAGCGACGTCCTTGCTGTTTCGGTAACGGCAGCAGTCTTTCAACTTTGTTTATGTCTATGGCCCTGTGAAAGGTCCCATACTATCTCTCGATCACACGTGGCAGTATTGCCTACTATACTGCTGGGTAGTAATCTAGCACCGCAATGTATACAGCACTTGCACTTCTCAGCATCTGAGTGACTTCTGCCATTCCATTGCCGAATGTCCAGTGCTATCGAGTAGTTTCAACTTCGCCTTACAGTGCGCTCAGCTTCCGTTTGTTTACTATTTTCTTCTTGCTTATCTCTTATGCGGTTAAAGGGGAAGTTAAGGCAAAAATTAAAATTTCACCAGTTGTAGTCTTCGGGGTGCTGAGTCGAATGGTCTTGGTCCGAGAAAGCTGAGACGCTCCCTTCCTACTTGAATCCCAATCGAACTCGCGCACTTCCACCGAAACTGGGTGACTGCGCCCTACGAGATGGGGATTTGTATGCAAAATGTCACTAAAAGCGCCATTTCGTTCTTATAAAAGCACGGATGACCGCGATTGGCCCATATGTTGTAGTCTTTTGGACGCTGAGTCGACTGGTTTTGGTCCGAAAAGGCTGCGATGCAGCGTTCCTCCTTTATTCCCAATCGAACATGGTTGAAGAAGCGGTCACGTGCTCCTGGGTGCCAAAATCACCTGGTCACCACGCCAGCAGGCGACAACTTTCACACCAAGGTTCAACTCGAGTGACAGGACTGCACCCAAAAAAGGTCAAAACAGGCTGTAAGTTGTACCCTGTAGGCACGGTGACCAGGTGACTGGTGTACGCAGGAGCACGTGACCGCTTGTTCAACCATGTTCGATTGGGAATTCGGGGCGAACGCTGCATCGCAGCCTTTTCGGACCAAAACCAGTCGACTCAGCGTCCAAAAGACTACAACATATGGGCCAATCGCGGTCATCCGTGCTTTTATAAGAACGAAATGGCGCTTTTAGTGACATTTTGCATACAAATCCCCATCTCGTAGGGCGCAGTCACCCAGTTTCGGTGGAAGTGCGCGAGTTCGATTGGGATTCAAGTAGGAAGGGAGCGTCTCAGCTTTCTCGGACCAAGACCATTCGACTCAGCACCGGTCACCCCGAAGACTACAACTGGTGAAATTTTATTTTTTGCCTTAACTTCCCCTTTAAAAGACATTCCAGCGAGTACATGATCCTGTGTGATGGCTTGATGGGCAAGGGTTTTAGCCTTTCAGATGATCGTTATCCTCATCCCGTACCAGCCTCAGAGACTTGTAGCCAGATTGCGCACTGTGTCGGTCTCTCTAGTCTCTACCCAGCTCCAACATGCAAGTGCTGCTGCCGCTGCTGCTCAGTGCTACAAACCATTTTGCGTTGTTTGCATAACGGTTTCATCAGCCTTTTGCGCAAACATAGCTCGATGCCTAGTACCTTTCGATGGTTCTTCCTCCAGTCCCTGGTGTGAAATACAGCTTGATTCCTCGCACAGCTTCATGTAGCAGCTCGACGCCCATGCAGGAAATTGAAGCCTCGCTAGTTCTTGAACTGGTAGCTTATGCTCAACAACATGCGATCCAGTACGTAGACTGGTAGTAGGTACTGCACACTTCCTTCAGACAAAATGCTGCGATCACAGGCTTTCTTGACCTGGACTGGAGAGACGTTCGGGGAGTCCTGTCTGGTGCCTGGGGCTGGGGACATTTGATGCAAATGCCCCCTGGTCGAATACCGGTGCGTTGCTCAATGCTGCACATCCTTGACGGCTCATCCGTCCTGGGGGCTTCGAAGTTGATCTTCCATCTCGCACGTCTAAGACTCTCAGATAGCTTGACCTGAGAGGTTCATCTCGATCACTTCTAATTATTTTGCCCTTTGCGGCTTTGGCGGGATTAGAGCCTCTGAGATACACACTTGTCACTACATACACCATTACCATGCATGTACATTGTATAATCTCGCAAGCCTATCATCTCTTCAAGGCTATCGTTATCAAGCCAAACGCAAACTACAACGAGGTAAGAAAATACATGTACCTGTACTTAGTCAGTGCATGAAAATAATGATTAATGTCTGAATGACACCCTTTAAGTACCTAGAGTACCAAACGTCCTGTTTGATGATCAGCTGGCTTAGTTTCTCTCTACCTCTATCCTTATTACACTCCTCCCCAATTTCACTACTGCTTTCTATCTGCATTCGCCACCTTTTCATTGGGCGGATCTGCCCGTTTGGCTTGCGTATTAAAATAAACACAACAACAACAACAACAACATGTGTCTGAAAGTGAAAACTGATCGAGCCTGTACGTCGCTACCGGCCGTAGACACAACTGCGCGGACACACTCCATGCCCACATCCGGCTATCACATGCCTCCTGGCCTGGTACAGACAGTGGCGCGTCGACATGACTGTGTTCTAACGTCTGCTGACAGAAAGCCTGAAAGAGGCGTTATAACCAGGGTGCCTTGCAATCCGACTCCCTGGACGGCCAGGTTCTAACTACAGTCTAGACTACATTCTACAGCCTAGACTACACTCTACAGCCATGGTCGTTGACACCACAGGCCACAGGCATGATGTACGTATTGAACTGACAATGAGGGCGGCCTGGGCCCGGAGCTGATGATGGTTGTAGTCAGTAGGTGACAGGCAATGGAAACTGATACATGTCTCTTCTGATCTGCTGCTGAGTCTGGTTGAAATCTGCACACGTCGGTTGTGTTGACACATTTTGATTTGCGCAAGGAGTGGTCTGTCCTCCAGGATACTGTTACTACTACAGTAATACTAATAGTCCGCCTCTGCCTCTGGCCGTCAAGTCGACGGCGGGGTCTACATGGTCTACTCAACCAGCGACCACCCACCACCGTGCACCCACGAGCTAGCACTAGCAGAGCTACTTTTTTTGTAGAGCGGTTTGAAACGATCGAGCTGCAGGTGATCGCTGTCACCAGGGCGATGTACTCATCGGCCTGGTTTGCAGCTCCGAAAAGCGTAGACCTACCGCCTACCGGTAGATCTCAACGCGCTGCTGCATCAGTACAAGATACACCCATCAAGGCCCATGCATAGCATCGGATTCAAAGCGGACTTGATTCAGTTTCTGGATCGATCTGCACTGTGGCTTGACACGTGCCTCCGTCCGGTCCTCGGCCTCATCGTGCTTTGAGTTGAGCGGACGGGGCTTTTGCCGATGAGACAGTTGAGCTGGTCGGGTGGAACGGTCTTCCATTCGGAGTTTTTCGTCATTCGCTCATTGCCGATGCATCCCTATTCGCAGCTGAGCAGGATGAGTCTCGGGTCAAGCGAACGACGAGACTCACATCGCATGTGCTAGGTCTTTTTTTTAACTGTCAGGAAACTCCACAGTTATAAAATAGCAAGTCTTGAAACTAATTACTTGGTCATTGATATAGCGACTCTGCATCTGCCTCCCCTCAAGCAGCAGCTCGAGAATCTCACACTTTACTGCATGTGTTTTGTGATGAGCTCAATCGCTAGCGTCCTCGTCTGTAGAAATAGGAGCTGATAGCGGTGGAACAACCGAAATAAAAAAAAATGGCTGGTCTGGAGGAGTCAACCGCGGTGGTTATCCTGGCTATCTTCGCCTGCGTGTTCTGGGTGTGCGCCGCCTACGCTGCGTACCGGGTATGGCGGCGGAGGAAGGAGATCAGAGAACTGGAGAGGCTTAGAGAGTAAGGACTTATGTGGCACCCCGGCCCGAATATCTTCATGCATGTATTGCACATCGTTCACGTGCTCCTATTGCTGTGTACTGTTGCAGCCAGTTGATCAGGAGGAATTAAGTCTATACAGTTACCTTATCACTTCTGCAAAACAGTGGCACAAGCATTGGCTTGTCACTCTAATCCCAATACGAACTACATGTAGCATTGTTTGCCACGCCATGCAAAGTACATACCGGTAATAATAATAATAATACCGACCGTAAAGTACCGCGAGAGCACCCCTCCATCTCGTCCCCTCGTCGTCGTGTTGTGGGTCCAGCCTGTAGGGCATACGATACTTACCTTGTACGCGCACGTCATTGCACACTGTGCAGTCAATCCGCACTCAGTTTACCTTCGAGGAGATGCGAGCCGCTCCGCACGAAAGCATGCTAAGTGTGATCTTAGTACACTAGTCTCACACCACCCAACCTTAGTTGCACTCTGCCACTCTTTTCATTTCCCTGGCTGTAAAATCAAGGTGGGGCACTCTCGCGGTACTTTACGGTGCATGTTCTGCGGATGGAATCATCGTATACGCGTATACGGTAACCCCATTGGCAGAACATGTCATCTATCTTGCAGACCTTGACTTGCCATGGAAACATCTTATGCCCTTCCAGACAGCCGTGACCCAATCTGCACACTCATGATTCAACTTACATTACAAGGTCAATGCTGCTGAGATCAGAATAGAATCACGCCCACTGGTAGTTGTTTCACGGTGATGGTGTGTAACATGAAGGGCTGTAGCATTCGGTATGGCGGGAGCTTATTTCGAAATGCAGTTGTGCTCGGTGAAATCCGACCCAAAGTGCAAAACCGCCGCTCTGGACCAGTTCTGATCACATCATGGTATTTGTACATGTGTACGTCCAGCCGCATCCGTGCTACTTCCAGGGCGGCGAGGGCCGTGCAAGTTGAGGGTGCCAAATATGCAATTTGGGTAGGATTTCACCGAATTCGTGAAAGGGATTTTCGTCAATAATGTTCATTCCAGGTCTAGTACCCGTATCCCGTTTGGCCGGGTCACCTGAAATCCCGGTGCTGTGCTACGGCCCTGGAAGATTGCATGTTTTCCACACAAAGTGTACGGGTGTAGCATTGGTCATTAAATACATGGGGCCGATGGCATCGCTCACAGGCACACCTTTCTGAAGTTGCTAGAAGCCAGCAGCAGGTCAGTGCTTGCAGCGTTACAACTGGAATAGTGCCAATTCCTGCCATCTACAGTCGACCAACAAGGTCAGCATTCAACTAACTTGAACCACGCCACTGTACTCCCAACAATCGCGACAAGGAACGTTCGCTGATATTGGGTTCCAAGGCAGAGAAGTCTAGATGAAAACTTGTCAAATGCTCATCTGAATACAGCAATGCAGAACCTGATCTGTAAGATCCGCTTTCCTCGGCAGCAAATGTGTTGAAGGTGCTCTGATCACCATGGTTGCGGAGGCCACCAGATACGTTCAAAGACGGTGATTGGCCGGTTTCCGGTATGTGTTGTTGTTGAAAGGGGGTTTCCCCTGTGTCAATTTCTAATTCACCGCCAGCCTTCTGCCCAGCTGGCACGGGCGCCTACCTTGTGTGGCCCCTACCGTTGTTTGTCTCCACCCTGGACTGGTATAGAGTTGTTTTTGGCTCTGTAAGAGAAACCCTTATGGAGTGCAAGTGAGAGATACTTAGTTGGAAAATAACTTAGTCGTGGTGGTGGCCTTGCACACGCCTAAAAGCCTGATAATTCACTTTTCCTTCTTTGCCACTTGACTCTCCAGACGGCTTTGTACACTGTAGGACAGGTCACACCGGACACATTGCCTCGTTGCTATGCATTGAAACATTCATGTGCACTCATAGAACTGTCTCTGTGCCTTCCAGGCTGCGCAGGGAAAGCCGACGGAGAAAGCGGGCCGAGGGCGGTGGCCAAGCCGAGCAGGATGATGACGATGAAATTGATGATTGGGACGACGATGAATTCGATGACTTTGGTGACATCTACACGAGTCCAACGGCAGGTATTGAGAGCAAGGGGATACGGAACACGGTTGGCAGAGGAGAGTAAGTCAATGTCTCAACACCAGGGTGCAAACTTCACAGTAGAGTGCATTCTCCTGGGATGAGTGTTGTAAATTCTGATTGACATGTACATGTACCATTTCGCTTCCAAGGGGGGGGGGGGGGAGAGGATGAGGCATACACCCCACTCCACTAAGTCATATGGCGCTTTGGAGACAGTACTTGATGAGTCTATTGCCCTGCCAGTCAGTCAAGCAGGTAGTGCAAGGTGGCAGGGTTTAGTGCGTGGTGTACTAGTATTCAGCATGTGTTTGAGTATCTTGTGTTACAACTGGCTTGTAGCCTGTAGCATGTGCATTCTAACAGCCATATATGGTATAGCCTGTATTGTGCAGGTAGTGAGGCTGCAGCCATGAGTGGCATGTATAGTGCTAACCAATAAAATTCGAGTGAAGCTTGCACCCTGCACCAGTTCACACCCCAGTGTCCCGATCCAGGGCTGCACAGCACGCGGCGTGGTATTCACTTGCTCGATAGGATTTACTTGAATAGCACTGTAGATCTAATTGTGTGACAGACATGCCCACCCGGCTGAATAGCGTGGAACTAACACCTGCACGTACACTGACAATCACAGCTGACACACACACCGAACACACCACACACACCTCAGACCTCACCTCAGACCTGCCCATCGCGGAAGCGATGATAGCGAACAGCTATGTTAGACATAGCAACTTGTGCTGGGATTACACCATTCAACAGCTTGCAAGGCTGATGAATTGACCGCCACTATTTTTAGCCTGGTATCCACCACACAGCTGATTGAAGTGACTTTTTCTGGCCAGTGAATCCCTATTTACACACACCACACACACACACACACCATCTACACCTACTACTTTGTGACAAGTTACCACATGTGTGGTAAATTGCCACATGTACTTTCCTCCTCTATTCCAGGGATATGTGCTCCTTTCTACCATTGCTACTCTGGTCACTTCATGAACATTATATTCTGCCCTTTTCTCGTTTTGTTCCCTGCTCCGTGGTAACTCTCTGCCATATTGGCTATTATCTTGCTCCACAGCTCGTTTGCTTCACTTCGTTCAGACAAGTTGCCACTTGGGCTGTTCAACAGAGCCTTTGAGGATAATCTGGAGGCTCTGGCAGGGTAGGTGGTAGCGATGACTGCTGCTAAGTCACAGTGTTGCACTGTTGCTAGGTCACAGTGTTGCACTGTTGCATTATTTTATTTGCATAGGCACTTAGGCACAACAGACATACGACGACCCCGCAGACGACCACGTCTGAGATGGATCAACGTTGTCAAGAACGACTTACAATGCATTAATCTCTCGCTTCTGGATGCTGTGCAATCTGCTTCTGATAGAGCTGCTTGGCTCGAAATTGTCAACAGATGCGTTGACCTCATGCAATGAGTGATATGCGAACTTTCATTATTATTATAATTTATTATTATTATTATTATGTCCTGGTGGTGACAGTCAATTTTTTCTTCAGACTTTTCCCGTTTGTCTCTTTCCCTCAAACCAGTTAATATTATTATTATTATTATTATTATTAAATAGAGGTTGCGACTTCGGCGATGATTTTGTTTAGGAATGGGTTTGCTCCCACACTGGAGCTCGCTGGAGCTCAGTTGGAGCGATAACTGACTCACGCTGCTATCTGGTGTTCACGAGTTGTTTGTCGCGCTGGAAACGGAGTGTCTCTGTAAGTTTGTATCCCTGGTGATGTTTGTGCCTGGACAGCACTATATAAGTGGTGCTCTTCAGGCACAATCTTCCTCAGCCTACTCAAGCTCAACTGATGAGGGGTGAATTCCCCGAAACACTGTGTATTGAGCAGGGAGTGGTGCTTTCTTGCAGGTTTGCCGAGTCGAATGTTCGATGGACTTCTCGTGTTCTCTGGAGGGCAGTCGTGAGTCAGTCAAGTGTCAAGTCGTCGGCGGAATAGCGCGAGCTCCAGTGTGGGAGCAAACCCATTCCTAATTATTATTATTATTATTATTATAGGCACTTAGTTGTACGGTGAGCGTTACTGATTTTGGGTCTTGGCACTTGTACTGACTTGCCGACTGTTCTTGTTGTTCTCTTTGCTTTCCTTCTCTTGATCTTGCTTGTTCTGAATCTGAAACTGGCCTTTGCCTGACGTGTGTGTGTGTGTGTGTGTGTATGTGTGTGCGTGTGTGTGTGTGTGTGTGTGTGTGTGTGTGTGTGTGTGTGTGTGTGTGTGTGTGCGTGTGTGTGTGTGTGCGCACACATGTGTACATGGCACGTACAGGCAGCCAAATGACTACGAGGACGTCCAGGCAGAAGCACCTGCTGCAAAAGGAGGTGGCATCCACCGCTCTATTCGTAACATGTCGGTGCGCTACGAGCGTGGCAAGGAGATAGCACAGTAAGTATGCATCATGAGTATGTCATGCTATCACTGTATACAGCCATTCTTCTCTAAATCAACAAAAATGTTGACACAGACCTTTTCAGCAATGGCACTCACTTCTGACCGACCATACACGTGGCATTTTACTTTTCCCAACTGGTTACCAGCAGTTACAGGTACTGTAGTGCGGAATTTGAAACTTCAGCCAGCAGAGATGAATATCCCTAAAGGCTCTCCACTGAAAATTCTACGTATGAAAGCTGTGTGTGGCAATGATCTAATTGTGTACACCCCCATGTTTGGTCTGTCCACACAGACAGTCTGGTACGTTTTCTGTAAACTGTGTGAACGCGGCGAGAAACTTTTGCTGTGTGCATTCGTGTTTAAAAAAATTCCCTGGCGTATGACCGGGAACTTTCACGTTTGTATCCCTTCAGGTGAATCATATATTGCCCACAACAATGCAAAGATCAATTTGTGGCGATTTAGATTCGCGGATGTGCGATGGCCCCCGAAAACGACAGTATTTAATCTCTAGCGGAAGTTTCCCACTTAACGGTGATGTTCTTTCTGCACATACCTTGTAGATTTCTCTGGCTCTCTGTCCTTATCTTTCCATTTACCCCCCCCCCCCCCCTCTCCCTCCCTCCCTCCCTCCCTCCCTCCCCAGGGCCGGCGCCACTGGTATGGCCGGTACGGCCATGGCCGTACCAACTTCCCAAAAAGTCGGTCCACGTGGAACGTCCAAAACCGGGGAGAAAAAGTTTCGATGTATGATTTTGTACAGGGAGTCGCCCAGAGTGCAGGATTTGCCGTATAAATAGACCGATCCCCTTATTATACTGGGTTCGAGCACGGGGGCAATCTCACTCGCGATCGAGCTAGTTTTTGAACGTGACAGCATCTTCGACAGTGTGTTTCAGGTTTGTTTTGGAATATCTTCTGCTGAGTTCAAGTAGTTTGCGATGGCTTCGAGCGGTGCTGAACCTCCTGCTGGTAGGAGCAGAGTCTCCGAGAGAGACATGGACTGTGATGCAGCTGTAGGATTTTTCAAGGCGCGGGAGGGAACGATCTCGGGCCACAAACAGGAGTTACTCCAGAGGTGAGTTTTGTTGTTGTTGAAATATTCGAATCGTGAATCGTGTTTTGAGATTTATTTTGTGCCTAGGCTTTAGCAGACCGTATTTCTTTCTCCTTGAGATCGGTGCTGAAGACAATAGTAACCTTTTTCTGGTCTGCCTTTTCCTCTCCAGAGCCATCTTCTATGAAGGTAACCGTGGTGCTGCCAAGTCGCGATCGCGATCAGCAGCGCTGAAGTGGAAAAATCGATTTTCCAACGATCTGGTTGGACATCAGCCACTAAAGTACTTCTGATTTGGCTGTAGTGACAACAGCAGCCATCCTTGGACACCTTGCAAAGACAGGAAAAGCCACTAGTGGAAGCGACTGCTATGAGGTGACGATAGCAGTGCAGTGGTGATCGCTGTTTTGTCAAGTCGAAGGGCTAGCCAACCCAGAGGAAGCAAAAAAAAACGATAAGCAGTGCGTGGTATTTGTTGAGCGTGAAGAGCTAGAGGAGGACAGTGCAAACACATGGACGGAGTGGATGGTGTTTGAAGAACAGTGTGCTGTGTGTCGGCTGGTGGTGATGGTGGTCTTTGTCAGCATGTATTCGTGCTGCGTGCTGCAGTCGGCAATGGGGCATTTGTTCCAGGAACATTACCCCAGAGCCAGTGATGAGTCGTACCTTTGAAAAGTTGAAGCTTGCTGTTAATCGCAAGCGTAGCGCAGTGGATTGCTCCCTCTTCGAAGCACGAGGGCCAAAGCTTGCCGCTGTCTGCAGCAAAGTGTGTGTGCGGTTCTTTCGAACCTATGAATATACCCCCCCTCCCTCTCTCTCTTAGGAAGACTGCATGTTCTGAGTGAACTATTTTCTAGTATATTTAATGCGAGACGGGCTGTTTACGCCCAAGATGAAGATACAGTTTTTTTCTGTTTCTATACCTTCCTAATAAAATACATTGTGACAGAGCTTTCGGTCATACTCCGCTGTACTACATCCTCAACCCGCCACCACCATGCGCTCTTGGCCGAACTAATGCACGAAGCATAAACACACCAGCACAGCAAGGACACTTCCGTTGACAGATATTATTTACGCCTCTAGACAGCTGTTTCGTTTCTTCAAGCTCATCGTTAGAGGAGGATAGTAGCAGGATACTAATGATGATATAATAATAAGATGATACTAGTAGACGGGTTATGGTCCGATATTGATGATTGGAGATCTAAGAAAGCAATGACAGTGATTGCGAAATGGATAATATTATCATGATTATATGCCAGTCTGGTAATGCGTTGTACTAGTGAACAGTATTGAAATCATCACTGCATTCGACGCAAATATTGGTATACCTTTGGTTTCAGTATTGGAAAAAAAGAACCTGGTTGATTTGGTTGCATCTGCGACTGGCTACCGGGTGTTGTGACTGGCAATGTTACCATGGGAGAAAATAAGAGCGCAAGGATCTGTTGGGTCTTGTGCCGTGCCGTGCCGCTGCGAGAACCCTAAGTGCATGGCAAAATAGAACTGTTTCATCCCCATTGCAGAATGTCTTGCAGTACATGGCATTGATGACTGAACATCTCGCCAGCTGACCCAGATGGGGATCATGCCCAAACGGAGGAACAAGACATCTTTCCAGCTCAGCTAGCTATATACCGTGAAACGGATGGTTAACTTGTGCCACGCATGCCAGCTTCTGTTCCATTCGGCCCAGGCTTAGACACATCAATGCCAATAGCAGCTGATCCTCCATTACATGCTCATTGGCGATTTACGGCCACCTCCAACTGTATCCGCCGTCCCTCAGCTTTCGTCTTCGCAGATCTGGCGCGGCGCAGTCCATTTTCTCGGCTAGGCTCAAAGGAGTCCCACAGAGCGGTCCAAACACCTGAAGGCAAACCAGTCAGAAACTGGAGCGGCTCACAGTCTTTCTTTATGTTATTGTACGTAAGCTGTTTTTCGGCTTTCTTCAACCCAGTCCTCACATCGTCCAACTGCTCCACGAGACTGTGTACACGAGCTCTACTTGCTGCCAACTCCTGATGCAGATGCTGCACTTCCATTACAGGACCAAGCTGCACTAAGCCAGGTTCCTTTCCAACTCAAAGTGCCGTTGCCTCTCAGCAAAATACTGGTTTGCGAGCACGGGGAGCTCGTGATGCAGACGCTGCACTTCCATGACCGAACTGCACTAGGCTCAGCAAATACTGTTTTGCGATCATGGGGAGCAGGGCGTCCAGACTCCACTCTCTTGCGCAAAGCAAACCTGGTACCGTGGGACAGCTGTTTGGTTTCCTGGACTCATCCTGTCCTTGTAGAGCTGGGCAAAACGATTTCGATTTCGGGATCGAAATGATCGCTGCAACTCAAATATTCAGAGTGACCCTAAAACTACGTCCTTCCTCACGGGGAATAGCCTGGATCCGCTTGCTCCAGGCCGCTGTGGCTCCACACGAGGAAAGGAGTGAAATGACTTGTTTGCTTCGTCCTCCTGTTCTGACAGTGAGGAACGCACCAATGATCCTGAGAAGGCATCCTGAAGTCGTAAAAAGGAAGACGTCTAAACAAAAACAAAACAGCTCAAATCA